CTCATTTCTGTTCCTGTGTTGATTGGATTTTGAAAGAAATGGATTATTGTGGAAACAAGGATTGGTGAGGAAGACTTCTCCCCATGATAAGTCTTCCAAGAGTGAATTTCCCTTCCTAGGGGTAGATTCCTCACACTTCCTGTTGTCACACCCCTGTTCCTAACTGTGAGTCATTTGTAACTCTGGGACACAGTCTTCATTAATTTTATAGGAAATATATCCCTTGTTCCTGAGGATTGTAGGTGTGCATTGGGAGTAATAACCACTGATGTTATGAAATCTCTGGGCAATATTTTAGATGTATATCTAAACCAAACAAAGATGTTTTTATATATTCAGTGTATTTAGAGGAGTCACACTACCCAGACCATTTCCAGAAAAAGTCCCTTGGTGGGACAAAATCCATAGATGCTCAAGCCCCATGACACATAATGGTGTAGAAAAATGGTGCCCCTTATACAAAATGGCAAAATCAAAGTTTGCTTTTAAATATATATCTGTAGGTCACAGATGAAGAATCCAGTAATACTGGCCTGAGTCCCTCGCTGGAGGTGAGAAGACCAGTATATAAAAGTTCTAAATAAATAAATAAATAAATAAATACTATAGTATTAATGAAGTTTGACCCCACTTTAACAGCCATGGCTAAATGCGATGAGAGTCCTGAGCACTGAAGTTTCATGAGGGTTTGTGCCTCAACAAACTAAAAACCCCATGGTGCCCTAGTTCAATGATATGGAAGTTGGAGTTTCCTGCAAATCCCAGAACTTCACAGGCTTGAGTCATAAAAGTTAAAGTGGTGTCAAAATGTTTTAATTCTGGAGTGTAGATGCATCCTGAGAAAAACATTCTGCAACTGGAGTCTCCAACTGAAAACATGTCAGGTTTTGTGGTTGTTTTGCCTCCTCTATTGGGGGGAGGGGGGGTAAATATCTAGATCAGGCATGGAACAACTTGGGCTCTCCAGGTGTTTTGGATTTCAACTCCCACTATTCCTAACAGCCTCAGGCCTCTTCCTTTTCTCCCTCAGCCACTTAAGCGGCTAAGGGGGGAAAGGAAGAGGCCTGAGGCTGTTAGGAATGGTGGGAGTTGAAGTCCAAAACACCTGGAGGGAAGGCCGAAGTTTGCCCATGCCTGATCTAGTTTTGTGGTTGTTTTGGCACTTCCCTGCGATATGTATCCTCCTCCCTCAGAGAGGAGCCAAAACCCGGCATGTTTTCCTCTCTAGGGTGTGTTTCCCAGGAGTGGGAGCCTTGCTGAAGGATGGCAGCGCCTTGTCAAGCTCCCCCGGCCCTCACCCTTGAGGCCCCCTCCTGCTCCTGCTCCTGCTCCTGCTGGCGGGGCGCGGGGCCCATAGCAGGCGGCGCTCCGGCAGGCGAAGAGGAAGAGGCTGCGGTGGAAGGCCTGGGCCTGGTCCCCGAGGGGCGCGTAGAGCTGGAGCAGGAAGGCGCAGGGCCGCCCGCAGGAGCCGCAGCGCAGCTGCTCCGGGCCCGGCAGACCGGCCTCGCCCAGCCACGCCGGGCGCCCGCCCGCCTTGCAGGGGAACTGCTCGCTCCGCAGGCGCCACGCCTCCGCCGCCTCCTCCTCCGCGAAGCCCAGCTCGACCTTCGGCGCCGCCATGACAGCCCTTCGAGAGCGGAGTTCCGGCGGAGTGCCAGGAGAGCGGCCCCTGGCGGAGCGAAGGTCAAAGACAAAAAAAGCTTAGCTTGCCTGACAGGACCTCCCTCGCTTGCGTCACTCAGAAGCAGCGTTTCTCAACCTGGGGGTGTCATTAGGGGGTGTCAGAGGGGTCGCCAAAGATCACCAGAAAACACAGTATTTTCCGTTGGTGATGGGGGTTCTTTGTGGGAAGTTTGGCCCAATTCTATCCTTGGTGGAGTTCAGAATGGTCTTTGATTGTAGGCGAACTATAAATCCCAGCAACTACAGCTCCCAAATTTCAAGGTCTGTTTCCTCCAAACTCCACCAGTGTTCACATTTGGACATATTGAGTATTCGTGCCAAGTTTGGTCCAGATCCATCATTGTTTGAGCCCACAGTGCTCTCTGGATGCAGGTGAACTACAACTCTAAAACTCAAGGTCAATTCCCACCAAACCCTTCCAGTATTTTCTGTTGGTCATGGGAGTTCTGTGTGCCAAGTTTGGTTCAATTCCAACATTGGTGGAGTTCGGAATGCTCTTTGATTGTAGGTGAACTATAAGTCCCAGCAACTCCAACTCCCAAATGACAAAATCAATCCCCTCCCCAACCCCACCAGTATTCAGATTTGGGCATATTGGGTATTTGTGCCAAATTTGGTCCAGTGAATTAAAATACATCCTGCATATCAGATTATTTAAAGTACAATTCGTAACGGTAGCAACATTGTGATGTAGCAACAAAAATAATTTTATGGTTGGGGGTCACCACAACATGAGGAACCGTATTAAGGGATCACAGCATTAGGAAGGCTGGGAACCATGCTCTGTAGGATGAATGAATGAGTTGGTGATCATTCTACAGCCAAATAATGCAGCTGGACGCCACTTGGCCCAAGGGAGATGCAGTTTGGTGATGTGCCAGCACTCTTGGGCAAAGAAGGCTCGTAATTCCATAGCATTCAGCCAAGGCATTTAAAGTGGGGTCAAGCTGCACTGATTCTCCAATGTAGAGCTGTCATGGGCAAGCTTGGGCTCTCCAGGTGTTTTGGACTTCAACTCCCACAATTCCTAACAGCTAGTGGGCTGTTAGGAATTGTGGGAGTTGAAGTCCAAAACACCTGGAGGGCTCAGGTTTGTCCATGCCTGGTGTAGAGGCGTCCTCTGAGAATCTTCAAGAGGTCCATGCAAATACATCCTTTATTTCTTTCCAGGAAAATAGCTGTTCATGTCCTGGTTGAGCCCGCTAATATCTTCCAACATGGAAATGCCTGAGAAAGGAGCCATTCTGCTCTCAATGCGGAGTTTGGGAGTTTGGATGCTTGTGTTGTCAGAACAGTATTCCTGTCTCTGCAGTGATCATAAAGTGTTATCAGGCATGGGTAAATTTTGGCCCTCCAGGTGTTTTCGACTCCAACTCCCACAATTCCTAACAGCTGGTGGGAGTTGAAGTCCAAAACACCTGGAGGGCCCAAGTTTGCCCATGCCTGGTGTAATGATGGCACATATCTGACTTATGTCCTCCTCATTCACTAACATGCTGCCAGCCACAGAACTGGAGTATTCTCAATCCTATTGATGACAAATAAAGTCAATGTATGTGAATGTGCTACAATGTTGAAGTGGTAGGTCCTGTTGGGAGTGGCTAATACAGCAATGTATGTATGAAATGTGCTAATGCTCTTCAACAGATGACACATGGGACAATAAGATGCTCATGTAAGTATAAATAATCCATACATTTGTGTCCCTTACCATGTTTATGGATTACAATTAATAGGTGTCCTGTTATCCTTAGTTATACCCCTCTGAACAAATCCTGCTTAGTAAACCCTGTGATGGGGTTGCCACAAATCAGAAACAACTTGAAGCCACACAACGACAAATGCTACTTGTGAGATATTTCTATACCATTAATGAACGTGTGCCTATGAAAGCCAGTAGCACTAGATTGTTGTTTGGGAAATGGTCTCTTCACAAAATCGTACAGAAACTGTAGTTGCCCAGGACAGGATATTTATCTTCTGCCAGCTCAAACTGCTGAGCTGTTGAATTTGCTAACCAAAAGGTCAGCGGGGAGCAGGGTGAGCTCCCATTGTTAGCCTAAGCTTCTGCCATACTAGCAGTTCAAAAACATGCGAATATGAGTAGATTAATAGGTACTGCTCCGGCAGGAATGTAACAGTGCTCCATGCAGTCATGCCAGCCACAAGACCTTGGAGGTGTCTATGGACAACGGCGGCTCTTCAGTTTAGAAGTGGAAATGAGCACCACCCCCAGAGTCGAACATGAAGAGACTTAACGTCAAAGGGAAACCTTTACCTGAGATAAAATGAACCTCTGTAAGGAGTGTAACAACATAAACTAATTTGTTACGTAACAGATGAAAGATTAGGGTCACATAATGATTTTCACATCATGAACCTTTCTTAAGGAGATCAGTGATGTTGATCTGTCCTCTTACTAGACAATAAATACTACAGCGTGTTGCAAAATGATGGACCTAGTTTCAAAGCAATATATTTCACAATGGTAATATGTTAGAATTACACAAAAGTTACAAAGGGTTTATTGAGTTATCAAATTCTCTAGTTTTAAGCCAGAAACAAATCTAAAAAAAAATTCCTCAAATGAAGAATGTCTTATTAGAGTCCTTATTCTGTAGGGTCATCATATTGCAAGTGACTGAGGCTAAGGGTTGTTAGTGTGCTAGTTTCAGAGATAGATCAATTTCAAATCAAGTCCATCCTTTTGAAACTGTCTGTATTGTGCATAACTTGGGGAGCTCAGGTCACCAAAACGATGAAATCTAAACAATGCTAACTAGATTGGCATGCATGAGCCAATCTATCTTTGCTTCCACAATGGAGAGACAGAGGTGGCAGAACCATAACTACTTAAGTTTGCAGTCACTATTTTTAACAGCCAAAGGCATCTACATCTCAGGTTAAAAATCCTTGCACCTCAAATCCTTGCAGATGGAAACATTAAACTTTGAAATTCTTTTACATTTGGAGACATTTGCATTAAGCAAGGTGTTTTACCAAAACCAAAAATATCTTAATTTGCTTTTGATAGTAGCCATCAACCAACAGTAAGAATTATCAATGTGCAGTATATATGAGTGTGCATACTCTATTCAAAGAAGGGTGCAACCAACCATACCCTTAAACAGAACCTGATGAGAAAAAGAAACAGAACATGTATATTTCATTGACATCACCACTGCGTAAAAGTTGAAATCAGGAAAAATATTCCTGTTTTTTTTAATATTTACAGTCAGATGCACAATGTTGAAAAAATCTGTTACAGCACTGGCATTTTGTGCAGATTATTTCCATGAAAGAAGTAGAGTATCCCCTTTTCCTTAAATATTGCTTTTAATGTTATGTCCTTAGTTTCTCAGTTACATTGTTATCACAACAACAAGATCATGGTATAAAAGTAACAATTTCCTCATCATGTCAAACAGCTCCAATTTTACTGTTTAATTCTGTCAATTAGTTGGGTGAAAGAGGAGTGACGTTTATCAAAAAGACCGTGAGTGTACAAGTAAGCTCAGCGCCATAAAGTTCAAGTTTGAGACAGTAACGTTTTGACTCCAGGATCACTTCTCCATCAGTGTAGCACTGCAAGGTGGAGGGATCTGTAGTCTTCAGTAACATTCTCTCCATCATCTGCCTGGCTTTCAACCATCCTCCACCATTTCAATGTGCCTAAAGCAATCCTTGGAAGTCTCCTTCAATTAAAGTCTTGCAGCCATTGGTTTTCTTACAGGTATCCTCGATTCTAAAAGCATGGAAGTACAAAATACAGGGGTTTTGAGGCAGAGAACCTGGAAGGGTTTCTTTTACATTCTTTTACAAGGTAAGTACTATTGAGGTGTTTGGTAGTGTGTGCACTTCACACATGAAGATGGAAGGAAGCTAGCAACGTGACTGGAGAAGAGAGGATTTTGTACTGATGGAGATGCTGATAGGAATCAGAAGAATCAGAGTTCAGGCTCACATGGGAAGCCTCCACAGATACAACAGGCTTTCCTCGTTAGACCCATTGCTTTCATGTTCCCTTTTTCATATGTGGAGCACACACAAATGCCTCAACAGGTCTGCTGTGATAATGGGGAGTGAGAAGCACGGCATTAGTTTTGGACACTAATTTATGTCACCCTAATTCCTATTATCTAAAAATGAGTTAATGTCTAAAAATAAAAATGGATAATGTAGACCAGGGGATAATTTAGAACAGGATTTCTTAAACCTTTTCCACTCACTACCACTTTTGGCCCAAGAAATGTGTATGTGAGCCTAGATATACAAAAAATATCTATAGATAGACATATCTATACATAGATATACAAAATGGGTTTTTTAAAAAATCAAACAAAAATAATAAATCAGCATTTGCAATTCTTGTTAAAGAGACCGATTTTCCCTTTTCTGGAGCACAGGTGAAGCATTTTCTGCAGAGTCCACTGTAAACCACACACATTGTTGCTAGCAAATTTGTGTAAATGTGTAGGGTTTAGAAACCTTTCACTGTTGCCAAATTTTGTGACCCCAAAATTGAGGGGATCAGGATCCACCGTTTAAGAAACAACAATTTAGAAAATGCTCTTCAAATGGATGAATCTGGCTTCTTACTTGCCAACAAATCCAGATTTAAAAACTATGAACTAATTCTGATTTACCGTATTTGACCACATAACAGTCACACATTTTAATGCAATTTTTAGCCCAGAAAAGAGGTGTTATGGCTATGAGGCTTCACTCAGCTCCAGGTTAACTTAAGTCCAGTAACTGGAATATCATTTTGCCGGCCCAAAAATGAGGGATGCAACTATCACATGGTGGTGACTATTACGTGGTGAAATATAATATACTCCTGGCATTTTGGAAAGTCAAGATCTTCTGTTTAAGCAAGATCTCGGCCAAACCATTACTAGTTTGCTTGGCTGTAGTGCTGGGACAAAGACCCAAGGTAAAAGCAAATGGGTTGTGAACACCAGGAAGCTATGAGCTATGAACTGCTTGTTTACATTTAAATTGGAGGGAATAAAAAGGTGCATGTTCTGCTAAAATGAATCAAGAGTAAAGAGTTTGGGACTATTCAGAATAACAACCAACAGGTGGCAAGTAAGGACGGGAGAATTAAAACTACATGTTAAACGTGTACAAGCAATATATGATAATCTGGATCTGAAGTAAAGTTTTTCTGCTTGCATTTTAAAAGCAACAGGAAAGCATTCAATGAATTACAGACATGGAAGGGGAATACAGAGCAGACTGCTAAAGGTTACCAAAGATACTTACCAAACATTCCTGCAATTTTATTCAAAGTTTCTTTGTTTACACTGTAAGTAAATCCATCATTCCTGAGGAGAAAATAACAAGAACTAAGCCATATAATTTTCTAGTTTTTCATTGCAAAAACTGTATGAGGCAAAGAGTACCATTTTGGGTATGCGAATAATAGTACAGTATACTCATACATCCTTTCTCTATCAGTACATTCTTTCTCTGTCAGTTTAAAATCTTGGCTGTTGTAGCATAGTTATTGTGTGAAGCCATTAGGACCATTACACATACATTAAACATTCAAGGGCTTTCTACCTTCCTACACGATGAACAGCAGGGATGAAATTATCAAGGCAGTAATTATCTAAATACAATTTGGTTCTATGGAACAGATCAGGATCCTATTTTATGTTTAGTTTAGTCCTGATTTTAATATAACTTGTCCTGCCATATTTCAAATCGTCCAATCCAGTTTACCAGAACTGGTTTCTGAGTGTTGAGGCCTGTGAAACCTCTGAGGATGAGGACGAGGATTTTCTGTTTGAGCCTGGTGCTTCTGTAGGGGAAAGTGAAAGTGTTTTTCGAGATAATGGGAATGTTTTGGGTAGATCTGTTGTCGGGATAACAGGCAGCGATTTTTATGAGAATTGGCCAGGGATTCCGAAAGGAATGTGGGGGGTTATCGATAACCCAGCATTTACAGCTCAGAAGGGATAGTGCAAAACAGAAACAAATTCATTGTTCCCAGAGGCTGAAAAATAAACAAAGGGAACCCAAGTGTAAGAAAAGGTGATATCATGGGTAAGTGGGAGTATTCTTAAGGAATTGGAGTCAATGTTCAGTGGGGAGATCAATGCTTGATTTTCATGTGTCAAGTTGCCTGTCTTGGGAGCTCCAAGTTAAGAGTTCTGTTCTTGGTTCTGTATCTTGTTTCCCTGTTTAAATTCCATGCCTACTGTTTGGATTATAAATCTTATTTCAAGTTTCAAGTCTTTGGGATTTGGGGTCAAGTTCAAGTATAAAGCCTTTGGATTATTGTCATGTTCATATTTTCAAGCTTTTGGATATAATTCTAATTTAAGTGCAACAACCCTTGGATTACAGTTTCTTGCTTTTACCTTCAGTGATTTTTAGAATTCATATGCAGTGTTGGTCATTGCTTTTTGTTAAGCTCCTGGAAATCTAGTTCATGGATGTCTTTGAAAGTCCTTTTGCACACTGGGTTTTGCTGATACTTTAGTGAATGCTTAGTATACTTATTTTGAACACTATTTCGAAACTGTTTTTATATTAGCTACTCTTTTCTTAATAAACTTATTATTGTTGATCTGTGTGCTGTTTGGTGAAAAAGGGTTCAAGCAGGCAGCTGGAGTGCAATACTAACTTGCCCTTCCAGAAGGCTTTAAATATATCAGCTCTCTAATCTTCATCCTTTAGATCAGTGGTTTTCAACCTGGGGTCCCCAGTTGTTTTTGGCCTTCAACTCCCAGAAATCCTAACAGCTGGTAAACTGGCTGGGATTTCTGGGAGTTGTAGGCCAAAAACATCTGGGGACCCCAGGTTGAGAACCACTGCTTTAGATCATCCACATAAGTCCTTCAAGTAACAGCCACACCAACCCATACTGTCAGTTATATATGGTGTAATGTTTTGCAATGCCTTGCAAAACAGGTGTTGTAAGTGGTTGAAGAAACTTTTCATGTCTTTGTAATTTAGATTCTCAGCTTGGGGTGTTTCCTAGATCCAACACTACATCTGAAAGTCAGGATTGTTTAGTGACCACAAGCACTTTTCATCAGCATTGCTGAGTGACAGGGTTCCAGTCCTATCTATCAGATGTGGAGGGATGACAACCATTTATTGATGTGTTGCCTTTGTGACCATAATATATTCTTCACAGGGATGAACCCTTTCATACTACACAATTGAAGCACTGTTATTCCAATTTACTTGCCATTGCAAAATCTTATGAAATCATGGGACTGGTAGTAGGTTAGGGGGAATTATTCAGAATTCCCATTGGAGCTAAAACATAACATTTTGACTTCAAATGGGAGGCTGAGCATTTTACAGTTTAATGATTATAACAGTAGCTTAGTATTTCTGCTGCCTGCTTGTGTCTGTCAACTGCCAACGGAGAATAACCTGCTAAATTCGCCATCTCTATATATAGTTTCTCTATATATAGAAGAAAGCATCACAAAGATCCCACTTGTGACCCTCTCATCTCTTCAGGAAATGGGAAAAGTCAAAGTACTTTGTAGAAGAAATGTGAAAATTATAATTTGACATGGACTGGTTTGGGGAATGAAGACAAATTATTTAGGAATACAAAAGGAACTACTCTACATTAAAAACTGCTGAAGGTGTAATCTTAGCATCACTCCAATTTCATTTGTAATGGTTTTAAAAATAGTAGTTCAATATATGAGTAATTACAGTTGTAGATTCATCTGAGTATATCACAGTAACAGAGTATGGTGTAGTTATTTGGTCACTGGACTTGGCCCTGGGGACCCCAGTTCAAATACCTACCCAGCCAGGAAAGCCCCCTAGGTGACCTTGGACAAGACACATTTTCTCAGCCTCGGAGGAAGGCAAAGGAAAACAGCCACTGAGCAAATCTTTTTTGTAATAAAACCTGAAATACGGTTGCCTTAGGGTTGATAGAAGTCAGAAGCAACATGAGGGCACACAACAGAATCTTAATTAATATATTTGTCACCCAGCTTCCTGATCAACTGTCTATAATCCATCTACACTTTCTGCTGGCAGAGAGCTCTTTGATCAAGCATCAGCTTCTATCAGAAGAAGGCCATTTTACTGGTACATGCTAACTGCTATAAGCCATTGCAGCCCCCCCAATATCTGCTCAAGAAAGTTGGGCAAAGCCATTCAGAACAGACTGGAGGATGATGTGAGCAGGAGCTGAAGGCAAGAAAAAACAAATTGGGCTTTGTATTCTTTTCCACTAACCGAAGCCACTGTGGAGCACAGAGCTTTCAATTGGCAGAAGAAAAACACACCAAACAGAAGCAGGGGGGGGGCTGAGTTTGATTCGGAGGGGCTGAGTTTGATTCGGGGGGCTGAGTTTGATTCGGGGGGGGGGGGGGTGAGGATCTACCCTAGCAAACCTTTTGTATCGTTATCCCAATACCCCCATGCATATGGGATATATTGAGCATGGTGATCAGATCATGATATGAATAAACATAACAGTTTAAATAATGTACTAGTAAGGCCTTCTTGCAGACCACCATGAGAATTTCGGGGGGGGGGGGGGCTGAAGCCCCTCAAGCCCCCCCCCCCCCGGCTACATGCCTGGTTCATAAATCAAAATTTTGCATAATTGTCATAAACTTTTCATCTTGACTTTCTTATGAATATTTAAACTTTTGGAATTTTATATCATTTCCAACATCACAAAACCTGTACTCACATTTTTGTTCTTGACACAACGCCTAATCGCACAAGACATGCCAAAGCATTTTTCTGCATATCTGAAGACAGAACGTCGTAACACTGAGTGCTTCCTAAGCAAGAGGAAAGGGTACAATTCAAACTTCAGCTCCTATATGCTGGAACAAATGTAATAAAACACTGCATGCTGTGAGATGTTGGCAGATCATACCACATCTGTAATGATCAAAGTCACTATCTTCACAATAGCAACCCAGAAATTCTGCTGCAAGTTTCTAAAAAGCTTCTAAAATGTACTACATAGTAAGGGCTGCCTAAGCACCTGGATGCTACTTCTCTGGTCCCTAAAGTCTTCAGCAGTTTTTCAATACTTCCTCAATATACTTACCTGCCTTCATCTCTAAGCATGTTTCCCAAGCCTACAGTATTTAAAAAACAGGGCATGCTTAAACATTATGCAGCCCAACAAAAAAAAACCTCTTGGTGTCATGGTGTTTAGGCCTGTTCCTAGATTTCTTTGGGTCACTGAATCAGAAAATTACATTGGAAATACCATGTCATCTCTTGTTTCTTATTTATGGTTATCATGGTTTTCTGCGGGTGAGCAGATGGCGACTGGTAGATGGCATCTGTTCTATATCTCAGAAACTTGAGCCAATAGGCAGAAAGTGGTGTCATTTTTAGAATCAGCAGGTCAAATATACCCAAAAACAGACCTAACATTTGATGCACCAAAATGTGTGCTGGTCAGTATTGTTTATACAAGTTTTAGGATTTAGTAGTCCAGTTAAAGGCAGGAAATTAAAACACTTTAAAAGAAGTCATAATAATAAAACCACAACCCTACCACAAACAGTCACACAGATTTTAAACCAAAGGGATGCCTGTATAAGAAGGCCTTAGCCTGCTGACAAAAGGAAAGATGGGGCCAACTAATCCTCCCATGAGAGGGAATGATACAAACTGGGAGCAGTCACTGAGAAGGACTGTTTTAATCTACACTACTTCTCTAAATGATGGTGTAAAGTGTTTATGGGGAGGCACAACCTGCAAAGGACCTGGAGAATTTGCCCTCATTTCTCATTCAGTTGTCCGCCCCTGGCAAAGTGAATCAATGAATTATCTTAGTTGGCACTGCCAATGCTGGCCTTTGCTGGTGTATTATTTTATGAACATTTGTTTTTCTTCCTTTATTTTCTGTATATATATATGTATGTATGTATATGTGTGTGTGTATGTGTGTGTGTGTGTGTGTGTGTGTGTGTGTGTGTGTGTATATATATATATGAGAGAGAGAGAGACTCCTTTGCCAAGCACTTCTTTGTCAAAATAAGGGCAAATATATTGCATTATGATGCTCACTATGCCACAGACAAATGAAATTGATTAGGAAAAAAAGACATTGCACTGTCCCCAAAACACGCACCTATTTCAAGAAGCTGAGAAGTGAAGCTTCGGACTCCAAAAATAAACTGCTTCTCAGCGAAGGCCTCATTGGCTTCCTTAGAAAGGTATCTGCAAATTAGCTGAGAAAAACATTTGTGTTACTAAAGATACTATAAAATAGCAACAAATGTCCAAAATGCTTTATGTCTATGTCCGATGTTTTATAGTTTAAATGGTTTTAATTCACAGTTATATGCTATTTTTAGATATGTGATGTATTTTTATATATATGTGAGGCATTGAATTTTGCCATTTATTATGTTGTAAACTTCTCTGAGTCCCCCCAGGGGTGAGAAAAACAGTATAAAAATCAATCAATCAATCAATCAATCTATCTATCTATCTATCTATCTATCTATCTATCTATCTATCTATCAAATAAATAAATAAATAAACAAACAAACAAACAAACAAATAAATAAATAAATAAATAAATAAATAATGCTTTAATAAAAAAAATAACACTGGATTTTTAAATTGTTTCTCAATTTTCTAAAGAGCTACTGGTTTGGACATTCCTGATTATTGACTGATTTCCAACATTTATATCCCATCCTTCTCAAGCCTCCGGGGGGAGGGGGTGTGCTCAGGGCGGCTTACAATGGCAGCAATTCGATGCCGACAATATATAAAAGCACAACATTACACAATAGATAAAACATTATGTTAAAAAATCAATTTAAAAACATTATTATTCACCATATAGTAAAATCCAAGTTTGATTCAATGGCCAACGACCCCGTCCAAAGCCTGTCATAGTCAGATTTCAAAGACTGTTATTACTGCCAAACCTATTATCTGAATGCCTGGTCCCAAAACCATGTGGCGCTGACCTAATTTCACTAAGGAGCGCATTCCACAAGCAGGGGGCCACCACCGAGAAGGCCCTGTCTCTCGTCCCTGCCAAACACATTTGCGAAGAAGGCGGGATCGAAAGCAGGGTCTCCCCGGATGATCTTAGATTCTGAGGTAGGACGCAGAGAGAGATACATTTGGACAGGTAAGCTGGGCTGGAACCATAGAGGGCTTTGTAGGCCAAGAACAGCACTTTGAATTGTGCTTGGAAGTAGACTGGCAGTCAGTGGAGCTGACATAACAGAGGGGTGGTATGCTCCCTGTATGTCACTCCAGTAAGTAATCTGGCTGCCGCCCGTTGGACTAGTTGGTGTTTCCAAACAGTCTTCAAAGGCAACCCCACATAGAGTGTGTTGCAGAGTTTTTTTCCCCTCCCCCCTCCCCTTTCTTATTTAGCAAATTCTCCCTATTATATCCTCTTATTGTTTGTAAAGCAGTTTTAAATACAGGATTTCATGATTTGGCAATCTGAATAATGAAAAATGTCTTGTAGTCTAAAAATATAGCAACCCATCGGGTGTGAAAAGCATGTAACTGTTACAGATAGAGGCTTGTTTTTTTAGACAATAAGATCTAAGCCTATTCATTTAATGCCAACCTTCTAAAGTAAAGGCTAGATTGCACAGAATGAATTACTCATGAAAATGGAGATACTTTATTTACTCCCACCTGTGCTAAGGAGTTTCAGCAGACCTGTGCTACAGGTTTTGTTTCATTTACAAGTTTTAATGTTTGTTTTCACTGCTTATCTGTAAAAGGCTGAAACAATGTTTTGCAGTAGGCTGCTGAGATTTTTCAAGAGAGGGCGAGATACAGAAATTATAAAGCATAATATGTTTTACTAAAGGAAATGAAATAATCTCAGAAGTGTGATTAACTGTCACTGAAGTGTGATCAACTGAAGAACCTATGACCGTCTCAAGGAAAGAAAATAAGAATAAATTTTGTACCTGGTATCCTTCCACAAAAGGCCTGAACATGGCTGTCAAAAAAGAGATCACCAAACTTCCTTTCTCTGTAACAAAGACTTGCTGGGGAGTAACTTGAACTGCATCACATTTTGTAAGCAAGAAGCAACCTTCTTCAAAATCCTAGGGGTGAAAATAAAATGGTTGTATTTGTTTCCCTTGGAGGGCGCGGTTCCTGGCAGATAAAACATGCAATGCACATATTCCCGATACTAAAATAAGAGAAACAGTCCTATCATACCTTAAAAAAAATCAAGTTGCTAACTTTTAATACCATCTAAACATTCTTGCATTAAAATGTTATTTCAGTAACCAGGAAAAAAATGCATTCCATTTGCTATCTTGAAAATATAAATATTTTCTAATATGTCCTTGTTGCCTGACTTCTTTTTGATGTCAAATAATAATGTAATGTATGAAATATGATATTCTAATGAACACACTTGAAGCGAAATGATCAACCGTATTTTTCTTTTATTTACATGGTGGCTTATCTTTTCCTAGCCCCCCCCCCCCCTCGGTGGCACAACAGACTAAAGCTGCTGAGCTGCTGAACTTGCTGCTGAACTTGCTGACCAAAAGGTCAGCAGTTCTAATCCAGGGAGCAGGGTGAGCTCCCGCTGTTAACCTCAGTTTCTGCCAACCCAGCAGTTCGAAAACATGCAAATGTGACTAGATCAATAGGTACCGCTCCAGTGGGAAGGTAATGGTGCTCCATGCAGTCATGCTGGCCACATGACCTTGGAGGTGTCTACAGACAACACCAACTCTTCAACTTAGAAATAGAGATGAGCACCACCCCCAGAGTCGGACACAATTAGATTTAAAGTCAAGGGGAAACCTTTACCTTTACTTATCTTCTTCTGGTGCTTGCTGCTAAATTGGCCTCCAAACTACACCTGAAAAGGCTACACAGAATGCCTAGGAATTCTGCAGAGTGAAGTAGGCTTTGGTGTTTCTCTTTCAGTTAACCACAGCTTATCATTTCATTGGCATATGATTTATGGTCTGTCTTCACTTTGGTTTATTTACAAAGGTGACCTACTTCAACTATAATTAAGATTTAACCCCAGTTTAAGGTTCAAATGTGAACCACAGTTTAGCATTTTTTCTTGTTAATTTTTAAAAGTGAATGCTTCCTATCTTTTTGTATGTCTAAATCTTATTTCTCTTTTTTGCTTATTTAAATCAAGTTTTAAATCAATCCCATCCTGTTTGATGACGAAACCAGGATGCAGCAAAAGAAGCACCTCCTGGAACTCCATTCTGCAAGAGGCGAGGCTGGCTCTCTCCCTTCCATTGACTGATAGGCAAATATCTTTTTATTTAAGCAGGCTTTCAATGTGTAAGCAGGGGAGCTGCCTACTGGGATGCATACTTTATTTTTAAATTTTTGTATATGTGTTTTTAATGACTTTATATGGTTTAATATAGCAACTTTTAATTGTTTTTACATTTTTATTTTTAAGGTTTTGTTTTTCTTTGAATTGCCACGTTCTGGCAGAAAGGTAGCATACAAATGAAATAATAATCCTTGGTAGCAAACAGTCTAGCAATTCAAATTGTGTTGCACCTCTTGAGCCTATATTCAAGGCTTAGTTCCACAAGAACAGTTGCTTCCAACCACTTTTGGAAGCTCAGACTAAGATGGTGCTATTTCTACACTTTGCAAACTATATCAAGATCAGAGGAGGGAACTTGTAAGCTGAAGAGCTTCTGTTTCAACATGTTAGAACTGAACACCTTTTACTATTGTGTGCAGATGAATCATTCCCAGGCTATTGTACAAAGAAAGGATGAAATGCGCTTAAGCCCTAAGCTTTGAAGAGGTAGAGTCATTAAACTATATCAATATGTCTTTGGCGAGCATTCTCGGGTTTACATAAGGCCAAACTGAACCACATGGTAAACTGCACAATTAGAGCCTTATGAAAAGTGGCACAATTGGAGTGCATGACAGTTAAAGCTTCAGCTGAAAGTGCCCCTCCTGTTAAGAACAATCAAATAAACCAAAAGGAAGAATTGTGCAAGGACTTTCTTGCCTGCACACCCACAATGGTCTTGCCTACTTCATCACTATGGACAAAGGGTAGAGGTGAAGAACAACAAAGCCCTAAATCAGGCAGAGAGGAGGGGACCGTTAAAACAATATCAGGTAAAGAGCAGGACACCTGTGAGAAAAGGACCTATGGGCTGATGTTCAGTGAGTAAAGAGTGCCGGGTCAGTTACAGGATAAGAGGTAAAATGCTAGCAGAATAGATGAAAAATTCTGTTGCACATCTTAACTAAAGTAGACCCATTAAAATTATTAGATTCACCTACATGTTGATTCGTACTCAGCAATTAACTGAATGAGTCTACTCCAGTTAAGACTAACTAACCATATGCCAGATGCAGAATGATAATGGGGCTTAGAGGTGCAGATCGGTATGTGAGATAATTTATTTATTTTTTATTTGCTACATTTGTATACTACCCCTCTCAGCCCGCAGGCGACTCGGGGCGGGCTGTATGTGCCCCAAAAGCTACCCATTTAAATTATCTTTACATATATGAGCTACATAGTCCAGAACTTGCAAGGAGCCCTCAATGTCAATGAAAAGATACATATGCTGGTATTATTAAAGCTTTCCAAAACACAATACTACGAAGTACAGCAATTATATTATTTAGGAAACACTTAAAATTACTAGTTATCAAGTTGTTATGGTTGCTGTGGGGTGTAACTACAATTGTATGCAAAAGTAACTTGATGATGTGTGGATTCAGGTTATTGGCATGGGTTTCACCACATTTCACCCTACACATTTGAGGGTTTAACTTTTGCAGATTTAACTATTTATAGATTTGATTGCCATAATATGATATCTCTAGGAATCTCTAAGTCATTCAGCAAATTCTTCTGACAAAAGTTGATCACAGGATCATGCTGGAGGACTAGCTATTCTTATAGCCCAAGATCGGATCCCAGATTATCTTTTTATCTCAGGTTACCTGGCAGTGGGGATGCATATAATCCAGTTTAAAGCAAATAATCTGGGATCAGATCCTGGAATATAGAGTGGTGTGGAAGGGGCCTTAGAGATGCATAGAGAGGTGTTGTCTCAGGTTATAAAAGGCTTTTTTTATTTGTGGTTTTTACACCTTTGCAAGAGTCCTAAGCTCTTAACCCCAGCAAATGTAAAGAAGTGACTGCATTTTATTTGAACAGTCACAAAAGCCTTGAAAGAATATTGATAGTTATACACTTTAGTGAGATCTTAGAAGAGCTGTTATATCAGAAGGAACTGTGATACTGATTATATATTCTAGTTTTTTAACACTCCACTGCAAACTTTATGTACATTCCATTTCTAGATCTTAACATGCTTTTTTTCCACCAAAAGAGAAATATTAAAAATATTTAAAATAAAAGCAGACAAACCAACCCAAATCTCCACTCTATTAAGAACTCTCAAGATCATCTTCCTTATTTACCCTGAACACAATCATGACGTGAATTCAGTTAATAAGAAATTCTGGCAGACATTAAGTGATCAAGCTCTACCTTCAGGGGTATTCCAGGAAAGAAGATAAACTCGTCAGAAAACACATCACGCCAGAACGCAAAATTGCTATAGATTTCCTCTGGAAAACAAAATTTAACTATATATGAATATATTCTTTCCTCAAAACACTTTCTTATCAGAAAATAAAAAGTTAGACCAGCAAAATCTTACTAGTAAATCCTCATTGGCACAAGATGACTGCATTTTCAGCTTGTGTTTTCCTTCCCTCCCGCAGCCCTCCAAATCCAGAATTCCCCAGTCTTTCAATGACACTTTGGGGGACAAATCCCTCTCACTTTCATCAACAAACCCACTAGAACTTGGCTAAAGTCAAGAGGTTATGTTTAGTTTTTTAAGGCAATTGAAACAGGAATAATAATGAAAAGCTTTCCCTGCCTCAGCCTGAAATGAAATAGAATTGCACAAAGCACAGTTAGATCAATGTCAAGAAGAAATTGCATAATGAAAGCTATTGATACACACACACACACTCCCCGCAGAACCATTGTTTGCTAAATAGCATCCTGCTCATAGCTTCATTGTGCAATTTCTGTTGCATTATGGAGGCTTAGAAGTGTGCTGGCCTGGACTGAAGGAAAACTGAATATAAGGGATGGAAGGCAAATATAATTAGTACATCAATCAACCACTTATTTAAATCTCAGATCTGAAGTGGCTATATCAAAAAGGTGAACTTACCTTTTCTGGAAGAGTGTGTGATTTCTAATGCCAGTGCTACTAGAGCTGGTCTCACAAAGATGTTCAGCAGCTGGTTCCTGTAGGAGCCACAAAGGAGGATGGCAAGGGCCTGTTTAAAGACAAGATCCTCTGGAGCACCAGGTCCCATTTCTTTGTCATTGAGCACCACTTGACCATTGACAAGGCTTACAATGTTTGAGTGAAGAGCAAGGGCAGATCTGACTGCTTTGTTGGCACACAGATTATCTATGGGAAAAAACAATTTTTGAATAAATGCCAGTTTGTATGGATGATCTTTAATCTAGTTTGTTTTTTTCATGAGTGAGAAAATTAAAGAAAGACATGTCAGGGTTAACAGCTAACAGGTTCCAACAAAGCCTGTAAAAGATGTCTTTGAATGTAGTGTTTGTGTAACTTAACAACTGATCTAACCTATTTCCTGGGTAAGCATGGTTCCAGATATGGTACACAGAAACCTGACATAAGCCCTTTTACTTTTTTGTTGTTTATTCGTTCAGTCGCTTCCGACTCTTTGTGACCTTATGGACTAGCTCATGCCAGAGCTCACTGTCAGCCATGACCACCCCCAGCTCCTTCAAGGTCAAGCCAGTCACATCAAGGATACGACCCATCCATCTTGCCCTTGGTCAGCCCCTCTTTCTTTTTCCTTCCATTTTCCCCAACATCATTATCTTCTCCAAGCTTTCCTGTCTTCTCATTATGTGGCCAAAGGACTTCCATCTTTGCCTCTAATATCCTTCCCTCCAGTGAACAGTCGGGCTTTATTTCCTGGAGTATGGACTGGTTGGATCTTCTCGCGGTCCAAGGCACTCTCAGAATTTTCCTCCAACACCACAGTTCAAAAGTGTCTATCTTCCTTCGCTCAGCCTTCCTTATACTCCAGCTCTCATGTCCATAGGTTACTACGGGGAATACCATTGTTTTAACTATACAGTTCTTTGCTGCCAGTGTGTTGGCTCTACTTTTCATTATTTTATCAAGATTGATCATTGCTCGCTTCCCAAGAAGTAGACATCTTCAGATTTCCTGGCTGAAGTCTGCATCTGCAGTAATCTTTGCACCTAGAAATAAAGTCTGTCACTACTTCCACATTTTCTCCCTCTGTTTGTCAGTTATCAATCAGTCTGGTTGCCAGAACCTTGGTTTTTTTATGTTTAATTGCAACCCAGCTTTTGCACATTCTTCTTTCACCTTGGTTAGAAAGCTCCTCAGCAATTCCTCGCTTTCAGTCATCAAAGTGGTATAATCTGCATATCTAAGGCTGTTAATGTTTCTTCCAGCAATTTCAACTGCAGCCTTGGATTTGTCAAGCCCCGAACATTGCATGATATGTTCTGCATACAAGTTGAATAGGTAGGGTGAGAGTATACAGCCCTGCCGTACTCCTTTCCCAATCTTGAACCAGTCTGTTGTTCCATGGTCTGTTCTTACTGTTGCTACTTGGTCGTTAGACAGATTCCTCAAGAGACAGACAAGGTGATTTGGTATCCCCATACCACCAAGAATTTGCCACAGTTTATTATGATCCACACAGCCAAAGACTCTCTGTTAAGCCCAGAGTGATTTCAGTTACGTAGTACAGACACACAGAAACTTTTCTTTTACAGAGAGGAAAGGGAAGAGTGGCTTTACTTTCTTCCCCCGCCCAATCCATACTAGGGAACATGTGGGGATGAGCAGGGAGTTCCTATTTGACTAAGCCTTTCCTGCATTGCCCAAAGCTTATATAAGGGCTCTAGAAAGTTTCAAATGATGCGCTGTGGAGGTGCAGATAACCTCATTTGTGTGAGCCACAGAAACTATGAAGACATCTATGTTACTCCTCTGAGGACAGTATATGCCTAAGACCTATTACTCTGCGTAATAGAACAGTGGAAAAGAATAACAGAGAGCCTGCTCATTCCCGCTGATATTTCAATACTTCGGGGAGCTCAAGTAACAACATATTTAAATTGTATCAATTTTAATGGGTTTCATTTCTACCTTCATCCTCTGTCTAGTACTAGAATAGGCAAACACTGGCGCTCCAGGTGTTAGGAATTGTGAGAGTTGAAGTCCAAAAACCTGGTGGGCCAAAGTTTGCCCATGTCTGGTCCAGTATTATGTATTGTTAGAAGAAAGTCAAAATTTAACAGTGTAAAGAAAGTTGTACAGTAGCAGTTCTAGTTTTCCCCCACCCCAAAACAGACCTAAAAAAAAAGACATCTATGTACAATATTATCTGCATACCAGGCCAGTCAAGAAATCCTCCAAATGTCTGAGTTATATTTTTCAGCCAAAGCGTCTTTTCCACCAGAAGTTCAAGTTCTATTGCTGGTAAATTCTGAAGCAGAACCACTGCAACTAATATCCATGGGCTCAGAACCATGTTTTCTATTTGAAGGAGCTCCATTTTATAGGCTACTTCACTGACAAATTCCTGGACTTCCTCAGATGGCTTTTGAGGAATATGCCTAAAAGGAAAAGGCTAATGAGAAAAGGCATTCTAAAAGCGTTGCTTTGATGTAAATATTGTTTGCATCACTGATTTTCAGTTTAAAGTACTGAGCAATATTGATAAAGAAGTAGAACAACCCAGATTTCAGAGCTTCAGTCAAAAAATTAGTGTTGTATCCAGATTTACTCTCTACAAAAAGAAGGTAAAACAGAATCATTTTTAAAAACCTCACTTTGCAGGGTTCTGACCCAAATGATAGCTCTACTCATAAACCAAGGGTCCTCAAACTTTTTAAAAAGAGGGCCAGGTCACAGTCCCTCAAACTGTTGGAGGGCCAGACTATATTTTGAAAAACATGAATGGATTCCTGTGCACACTGCACGTATCTTATTTGTAGGGCAAAAAACCCTTTAAAAACAATACAATAATTAAAATGAAGAACACTTTTAACAAATATAAACTTATTAGTGTTTCAGTGGGAAGTGTGGGCCTGCTTTTGGCTGATGAGATAGGATTGTTGTTGTTGTTGTTGTGTGCTTTCAAGTCATTTCAGACTTAGATTTACCTTGAGCGAAGGCCGGGTAAATGACTTTGGAGGGCCGTATCTGGCCCCCGGGCCTTGGTTTGAGGACTCCTGTCATAAACCATATGAAAAAAAATCATACACTTAATACCTTGGGACCAAGTTGAATGGACATCTATTTATTCTCCCAGATGCCAATGTTCTGAGTGATAAAGGCTGTCCAAAATATACGTGAATACTTCCAAAATCTTCACTTAAAATTTTTCTGGCTTTCAAAAGTCCCTATAGCATAAAGAAATGGGGGGAAGTCACTAAAGTATATGCAGCAGAAGAGTGAGAAACATACATGCTAATGAGTAAAACTATTTAATATTTTTCATCATTTCAAATAGCATTATTTCTGAGGCTTTTAGAATAATTTATGGATTCTAGCCTGTTTACACTGACAATAACATTCTTTGTTCAATGAAAATAAACTGTGGCATGTCAGAAGAAATTACTCTAGATACACAGTCTGCCTATACACGAGGTGCTAAATGGTGGATTACAATTTTGAGAACAAAAAGCACCAAGACTAAGGTTTCTATGTTCCCTCCCCTCTCTTTGATACTTCCCAGGAAATTTAAATAAATCTCCATTATAAACTGTGATTTGGAATGAGCTTATTTCAACAAATCAGAGCTAAGAGCAACCCACTTTATCTGCATTTAGATGTCATGAAAACTTGTAGTTAATCTCCACACACAATAAAAGTGAAAATGTGTATGTGTGTATGGCTGGGGTGTCCACTTACACAGACAAGCTCCTGCTTCCACAAACAGGTATAGCTCCCACTACTCAGGAGAAACCAATGGCCCTCCCTCCAATGAGATTGCAGGTTATAGTGAGTACCATGAACATGTACAAGAGCCAATATCCTCCACAAACACCATACTCCCCACCACCCAAGTGAAGGCTTTCAGACGGGGACAATTTCATCCTAGATTTTATTTATTTCCTCCACTACAGACATTCCAGTTTCTTTCTCCATTAGTGTGGAATTTGCATGACCCCGTCCGCTGCCTCTCCCTTAACCCTTTCCTATTCTTTTCTATGGCACACAGCATACAGAGGAATTGATCAGCAACTGAACATACTAGAGGGGTTTGGGGAGAATTCACCATGATTTATAGGAGTTGAAGGCACTGGGGTGTATAGTTCACTTGCAATCTAAGAGCACACTGAACTCCACCAATGATGGACCTGGAACTAACTTGGCATGTAGAAGCCCCATGACCAACAAAACACATTGGAAGTCTTTGGAGGGATTTATAGGAGTTGTAGTTCATCTACACCCAGAGAGCATTGTGAACCCAAACAAGGATGGATTTGGACCAAACTTGGCATGCATATCCGGTATGCCCAAATTTGAATACTGAAGGAGTTTGGGGGAAACTGACCTTCCTTTCCAGAAATTGCAGTTCACCCACAACCAGAGAAACTGTGACCTCCACTGATGATGGACCTGGACTAAATTTGCCCCCCCGCCCCCAACCCCCATGAATAAACCTACTGGAGAGGTTTGAGGGGACTGATGGGAGTTGAAGTTTACCCTACAGCTAGAGAGCACACTGAATCCCACCAATAATGCATCCAGAGCAAATTTACCCAACATAGCAAACGTAACAAACATAACAAACTACTGATGGCATTTCAGGGGGTTAACCTGGCATGATGAGAGTTGCAGTTCACCCACAACCTTATGCATTTTGCACAATTTAAAAATGACTTTTTTAAATAACCCGGGCAATGCCAGGTACCCAAGCGAATCTAAAATAAAATTAAAATATTCACATTTCCTCTTTGCAGCTGCACTGCAGGAAGAGCAAAGGAAGTGTACAAGTCCAAAGTTCATATATTTAAACAAACCATCTTTTTTAGCATTATATCCAAACAAGCCACAGTGAATTTGGCTAAACAAACTTTAAACCCAGAACAGTGTCCAATATTTCATCTTACCGATGTTGATTCTTTTGGTTTAGGGACGCCTAATAGTTCACATGCATAAAGGGATTCTTCCAATACTCTCTCATAGCTGATACTGATTGGGACAAGATAAATATCAAACACTTCCCTTTTAAGAAAAGGATCCATAACAATATTGAGGAGGCCTGGAAGAAAAATTGAAAGTTTTAAAAAAAATGAAACTAAAGCAACGTTTTCAATTTAAAATCAAACAAAAAGCTTTGTTTTTCTAACAGGATCCTTAGTGCCAAGTGCAATGTTGATTTTCTGTTTAGCTATTCTAAATCATTTAATTCTACAAAAGTTGTAACTTCCTGAACATACCAAATTTTGGATTCAACGTCTTTGCTGTGCGACTTCTTGTTCCTTCAAGGTAAAACTCAACAGGGGCATACCCATTCTTTAGGACAAAAGGACAACAAAGAGTTAACAGTTGTAACAAGAGAGCAATATTCATTAATTTTTAATCATGTTAAATGGCTGTTTCTCATAAAGTATTCATTTTACAGCAGAAGTTGTGCAAGTCAAAATAAAGAATCATTTTTGCAAAATAAATGATTAAATTAATCTAATGCAAAAAATAGTAAAGTTTACATTTACAAGAAAAACTTGCATTTCATATTAGCTTTAAAAACTTCTGTACCTAGCAAATCTCAAAAATCCAATATAAAAGTGAAGAAATTTTTAACTTATATACCTTTAATACAGTTTTCACATATTCAGCAAACACTGCCCAGTACAGTTTATTCCCACCAAATGTACGTCGCATAAAAAAGGCACCTGACTTTCTCAGCAACTCACCAACAATTTTCATTCCTAAGAAATCTGGGAAAAATGCAGAAGCAGAATAGCAAAATCAATCAATGTTTCTAAAATTTGTAGTTAGCTTATTAGGAAACACACACAGAGACCAACAGGAGGGAGGGAGAAAAAAACTGTTTTGGGGGAATCCCAGTTTGGGTAATACACTAAAAATAAAAATTAGAAGTTCTCAAAGCATAAATCACAGATAACTGTACAAAGAATCCAGTCTACATTCATATTTTGCAAATTCTAACCAGGAGTGACCAACATATGCCTGCAGGCTTCATGTGGCCCTGGAAACACCAATGTGCATCCACTGTAGCCACTATAGGCTCCCCAACTCCCCCCGCCTCTCTTCAATTTTTTACACCAGTATTTGGTTGGAACACTCCAAGCCAACCATTAATGTAGTGATTTATCTCTCCCACTGTCCTCCAACCTTGCTGAGGGGAGGGCTTGAAAATGGCATCCTTTAGATAAATGGTTCACAACCAATCCTAAACACTCCAGGGATGGGACAGAAAAGCTGTCTAGGCAGGGAATTGGATTTTGTAAGAGCCGCCGCAAACTAGCCTCCTGTGGGAGCAAACTGTGCCAGCACGTCCATGACGTCATGAGACTCCGCCTCTCTCTCCGCCCCTTTCTCCGCCTCCTTCTCCGTGCCAGCGTGGTATTTCCTTTGCTAGGGCAGCATTGCCAGTGTACTCTCGTTGTTGACAGAATTCAATAACGAGAGTACGCTGGCAATGCTGCCCTAGCAAAGGAAAAACCACGCTAGCACAGAGAAGGAGGCGGAGACAGGGGCGGGGAGAGAGGCGGAGTCTCATGACCTCATGGACGTGCTGGCACAGTTTGCTCCCGCAGGAGGCTAGTTTGCGGTGGCTCTAACAATTATTATGAATTCTATCTTTTTCAATTGTCATGTCCTCTCACAAGTGTGACATGTCATTATCTTTTCTTTCTGTTATTATGGCAGTAACATTTGTATTTGATATGTCCAATGACTACATCCCATGTGTCTTTGTAACATTTCAGGATCAACATGTCCTAAGTGATCCAGAAGGCAGGTCATAAGAGCGTAGTCCAGTTCAGATTCGACAGTAAGAGGATGGTTATCAACTGGTCCAGAAGTTGTTACAGGAAATCCAGATAAATGAAATAGGTAAGGAGTTGAATGAAGTCTTCATTCACAGTCATTCCAAGGCTAAGAAAACACTAATTCCAAAGAGTACTGTCGGTTATCAAGAGAAACAATGAAGCTTCTGGGAGATTTATAGACAGCTGTCTCAAGAAACCAGGTGCTAGTGAGTAAGCATCCCATATTTAACAGACTCTGGGATCAGGGTAAGCTCCCTTTATTTCTTTGAGGAATTGTAAAGATAACAACATGTCCTCAGTGTCTGCCAACTCCTGCTAAGGAAGGAGTTCCCTCAATGGTGTCAGCCTCCAGTTCCTTGGGCTCAGAGAGGCCACTATCACAAGGAGTTATAAATTCATGGAACTCTGACTTCTCTGTGTCTGTATCTTCTGATTCCAGAGGATGAGTATGGAACATCCTCGTAACTTATATTTTCTACTTCTACTACACAAACAGTTAAAGTGAATTGCATAATAGTCATCTTAAATCAGTGGTTCTCAACCTGTGGGTCCCCAAGTGTTTTGACTTACAACTCCCAGAAATCCCAGCCAGTTTACCAGTTTAGGATTTCTGGGAGTTGAAGACCAAAACATCTGGGGACCCACAGGTTGAGAGCCACTGTCTTAAATGGACATTCGTTCTAATCTTTGTTTTACAAAGCCTTGCAAAGACTTGACTCAGAAATTACAGGAAGTGTTCAGGAACAGAAATATTTTGGTATTTTACAAGGTTTTATCAATACACATAAACTTGTGGGAACATATGCAACCATTTGCATCCCAATGTTATTAAAGCTGACAAAATTTTATTAAATCTTGAAAACGAGATTGAGATATCTCCACTTGGATGATCTCATTCAAAGCTTTCGATATTGAAATCCACCATAATTTCCTCAAACAAGTTATTTCCATTCCTGCTGTGGAATCAAGAGGTGCATGTAAACTACTGTTTTTGAAATGTTTTGTCAGACCTTCTGTAACCCCCACCTGTACAAAAGCATTGACTACATGTTGCAAATAAATATCAACAAAATCATGCAAGAAACTCTTTCAATCCTATTTCTGACTGAAACCCTTATTGGCCATTTCAACTTCTGCCAGCTGTTACCAACATCAATTGTGAACGACATATTTACCTATTCCTGCAGCAATAACAGGCAAAGCCAAGTCATAGGTGTACAGCACATAAGATAACAGGAGAAAATCTATGTAGCTCCGATGACTGGGAAGCAGGACAACTGGATGTTCTTGTATTGCCTGTTGCAACTAACAAAGAACAGCTATTATTTACCACTGCAAAATTCATGGCCTTTGAATGGCCTTTTTAGAAAGTCTATCACATAATTAAAACTCATTTGCAGATCTTTTCATTTTTCCTTAGCAAAGATAAGTGAAAGGATATAGAAAAACAAGTATGAAGGGAAATGTATGCTTAAATGCATTGAAATCCACACTTTAAGAACAGAGAGTTCTGGCCATCTGAGTATCAACCTTTTATCAGCTTTCTAATTTAAATTACCTACACTAATGTGTAGGTAATTTGATTTACACTAACTCTGGCCACATCATGAGGAGACAGGAAAACCTAGAGAAGACAATTATGCTGAGGAAAGTGGAAGGCAAAAGGAAGAGGGGCCGACCAAGGGCAAGATGGATGGATGGCATCCTTGAAGTGACTGGACTGACCTTGAGGGAGCTGGGGGTGGTAACGGCCGACAGGGAGCTCTGGCGTAGGCTGGTCCATGAGGTCACAAAGAGTCGGAGACGACTGAACGAATGAACAACAACAACAACAACAACACTAATGTGGCTTAACTTTTGTGAAAAGTCTTATCATCAGAATAGTTATGATTAACAGCCAGAACAAAGAAATAATACTAACAACAGAAACATCATTGTGTTTTATCTCAATTTTGAAAACAGCAGGAATTCACACTGATCTAGATCCAAGCCATATCTTTAGCAACTAGCCTTCATCTTTTCTCTGTTAAAGTCACAACTGAATTATCAACCTTGGAGACAAGTTGGGAAATGTATTTCTTCTTAAATGCATCCATTCTAAATGAAGCCTACACAATATAACCTTCTCCAACTGAATGCCCACTAAACATGTTGGACTATAGCTCTCATTGCATAATAAAGCCAATGGTTGGTATGGTGACGCTGAGCACAACGCTGAGAAAAACTTTTACCACGACATGAGGAGTATAAAGGTAAGACTTCAGCTGGGCTTGAAAAGACCTACTCTGGCCAAATTCCCATGATTTTGCATAGGTCATTGCAACAGAAATTTAAAAGAAAGCACAAGAAGTGTGATAATGACAGATTCAGCAAGGCCTGAAATCTTGGCTTTTGGCAAGGCTTAACTGCATATTATCACGATTCAGAATATCGATGTGAAGAATTCTGTTTAGAATCCAGGTCTGCAGTCATTACCAGACATCAGGGGATACACTTCTGATATACCCATACATTTCTATTGCATTTGTTTATAACTTTATGTATTTATTTTTATTTTTTACAGTAAATTGTAATGTTTCTAAGAATTAGTTTAAACCAAAAAGGGGCCCACACTATTCACAACTAAGTATTAATTTTATGTATTATGTGAAGTGATGTGAAGTGATATTCTGATAAGTCTGATGTGACTCAATAATAAAATAGATAAACAAGGCAACTCAGCTCTTACATCTAAGATCATCATAAATGTAGGAAACCTTAAACTTAGTCTATTTTGAGAACAGAGAGGCTGCAGAACAAGCAAAAAGAAAAAAATAGGATTAACTTTGGTTTATACCTTCTGGAGACAAGGTATACCTCTGTTCCCCTAAAACAAAGTTGGACTTTCTATTCATGTGAAGACACATTTTTAAAAGAGAATACCCTTTAATATTAAGGCATGAACACAATATTGGACAACAATGCTTGGAGAGCATATCTGATTTTTGTAATCCCATAAAAAAGTTTCAAATTTTAAATATAAATGAAGGAACAGTTTTATTCAAAATGACCCTGATTTCAATCTAGCACACCATGACATAAACCAAAGAGGCATGTTAGATTAGGGCTTCCTGTTAGTTATTAAGACTACTTTCTACAATTTCCCCGGAGGCACAATGGGTTAAACCCCTGTGCCTGCAGGATTGCTGACCGAAAGGTCAGCGGTTCAAATCCAGGGAGCGGGGTGAGCTCCCATCTGTCAGCTCCAGCTTCTCATGTGTCTTTGTAACACATGAGAAGCATGTGTTACAAGGGTCCTGTGAGAGAAGCCTCCCACAGGATGGTAAAACATCCGGGCATCCCCTGAGCAACGTCTTTGCAGACAGCCAATTCTCTGACACCAGAAACAACTTTCAGTTTCTCAAGTTGTTCCTGACACACAAAAAACCCCTATATATATATATATACAAAACCCCACCTATTAAAACAACTGTAGTGTCTCATATGGGCAAAACTATCACAGGCTCTTGAATTATAGGAAAGGGGCTGAAAAGTTTGATTTGTTCCCTGTGAGTATGACAATGTTAATTCTAGATTCCCATATCGTTCTTTAAATAAATAGTTCCAGCATATTTGTTTAGAGGAAAAAAGTAAATTTTCTTAGGTGAAAAATATTGCTATCTCAAATAACAGTAAAATACTAAAATTGTAAGCAAGAGAAGATTTGATAACTTCTTATAAAAACAACAAAATGGGAGGAAGGGGAGCATGCTGAGATTAGCTATTTTATATATATATATATATATAAAAAACCCTGAAGACTTTTACAGTGATTTTGGGATTTATTCCAACTCCACACTAGTGATTGCACATACCCTTATATGTGCACGAATGTTAAATAGATAAGAAATAGGCACTCCTACTTTATCTTTCCTATACACCTCCTTATCTTTCATCCCATTCACTTGTTTCCATAGCCGGAAGTAAAGACCTACAATAGCTACGAACTCCCCAGCGACTGCAATATCAATAGAACAAGAACATGACTATGAATAGGAATATAATGCCAAAGGTTCTCAACAAGTGATTTCAGGAATAATCCATGAAGCAAGTTTTTATGCATTCAGTAGTCACACAAATTCACTCAACCATACTGGCATATAGTTTTGGCTGCTTCTGTGCGTATTCATACATATACTTACTTTTTGCATGCCATCTTCATTCACACAAATGCTCCTGAAGAGACATTTAAATATTTTGCTCAGTGTGAAAGCAAAAAAACGTATAGCTCCCATATGCATGCTGTGTCCCATCTCATCAAGAATTTCTGCTGCTTCTTCTTGTATAATGTCAGGCGATTCACCTGTTTCTTTTGAAAGCTAAGGGGGGGGGGGGGGGGGGGGAGAGAGAACAACACTAATGAAGAGAAGACATTACAAAGACTCTGAGATGCACAGTGTCACTGTACTAATATCAATGGGAGAAGAATTCTCTTTAGAGAACTAACCAGATTAGCTTTGGAGAATATCCTCTTTAGTCCACAAATGTATTATTTAGTTATATATGGATAGCATTTTTGTAAGGCAGATTATCTTGTAATTTTCATTACAATGAGGTTTCAAGACAAAATACGGTTGCCTCTCAATATCAGCAGGCTACCTGTGAATTTGCCCCTAAAACCCAATATTCTAACATTATGTGTTATACAGGATATAAATATTTGGCTGTTATCAAGAATACTTTTCCATCAGTAGCCACAAGAAGCAACAAATACATTACCTAGAAAGATCAGACAAGAGCTTTCTACTCACATGTCGGATGACATACTGAACTTGCTCAGATTGCAGAACAACTGTTTTAATAGCACTTGGCTTGCATGGGGAAAGTTCCTTATAAACAACAGGAGTGTAACATTTCATGGCATATCTGAGGTCACTGGACTGCCGCCTCTCCTCCAATATATCTTCAAAGTCATATTTTTTCTTTGATGTGATATTTTTCTGCTGGGAGCATCATGAATAAAGAATTAAACTTTGGCCACATTTGCCAACATCATGTTTAAACTGATGTGCTTATTGTTTTTTTGCAGTAGAATAGTAATAAAAGCAAAGATTCCTGATCCCAACCCTCTGAAATCAGTCTTAGTTTATCCATGATTATAACTTGTGATTAAAACGGAATTACCATCCATCCACCCACCCCCATTGTGGGCTATAATCATCACTATTCTGTTAGAGTCTCACAAAAGAGGCAAAAGTACTTGTAAAAAAAAAGGGGGGGGAATTACATGTTTTTCTTTTGAATTATATTCATCCCTCCACTCAATTGTTCAAGACAAATATGTAGGTAAATATAGGACCAGAATTTAACTTAACAGGGAGACTGCTCAAAGAACTCTAACTGCATTAAGACGAAACAAAATGGTCATTTACAACATTATCTTACTGCAAAGGATTAAAAATGATGATGGCTTCCATTTTTCCCTCCTACTCTTCAGCATGCTAATCAAGCCTTTTCTCCATCATCCCCAAATTTCGTCATTTTCTTCTCTTCCTCAACTCCAGTATCTTCTGTGTTGTCTTCAAAACCTCCTGGAATTGGTATGTCTACCACCACGTACTTCAGCAAGCCATGGTTTATTTGTTGCCACCAAGGTTTTTCCTCCATGTCTAATCAAAATATTGAAGAGACATCCCTAAGGCATATTTGATTACCTTCTCTATCGGGCTTGTCATGATCTGTTTGAACTCTATTTTCTCAGCAAACAATAGGTGACATGAAAATCAAAACTTTTAAATCTACACTACACCTCTCTTAGGAATTGCCAACACACTTGCAAAAGCAAGGGAGATGGGGCAGAACTCTGAGGGAAACCTCGGACTATAGAACATCAAGGAACAATTTCTGTGCAATACTTGGAGGCTACTGTAAAACAGTGCCTCCAAGTTCTATCCCAGAGATGCAACTCAGAAAGATATTGTGGCTGATAGTACTGAAAACTGCAAAGAGCAAAGTCAATAGATGGCCTCCATACTGTTATCAGACCTGAGGGGGAAATGAACCGGATCTGTAAAAGCAAATCTCATTCAGTAAGTCTTGCAGTTGAGATGCTGCCACATGTTCTAGCACCTGTCCAAGAATGGATATTGACGCACGTTCTAGCACCTGTCCAAGAATGGATATTGGCCAGAAATTAGCCAATGCAATAGGATTCAGGGAGAACTTCCTTAGCAAAGGTCTTACTATATTGTGAAAACATAGTGCTCTTATTTTCATCATTTCAGTGGTGTGGCAGACAGTATGATTGTATGTTAGGATGCCTATCAATCGTAAATATCATACAGGAGCACATAGAAAGCACCTCCTATCCTTCCAAGAAACAGAAGTTTATTTATTTATTTATTTATTTATTTTATTTATTTATACGCTTGTATACCGCTAATATCTCAGCCTAAGTCGGCGACTCATTGCGGTTTACAACAATTAAAAAACAGTATTCAATTTAAAACATAAAACACATATACAATACAAATTATTGGGCCACCAATAATAATCCCATGCATCTCGTAACTAAAATCACAATCCAAAATTCGTCGTCCATGATTACCAGTCCTTAGTCATCAAAATTCGATTGCAACGGATTAACCGAATGCTTGTTTAAACAACCATGTTTTCAATCTCTTCCGAAACACCATCAGCGAGGAGGCTGATCGTACCTCTATAGGGAGGGTGTTCCAAAGCCGAGGGGCCACCACAGAAAAGGCCCTGTCTCGTTCCCGCCAGCCGCACTTGTGAAGCCGGCGGGATAGAGAGCAGGGACTCTCCAGAAGATCTTAGGGTCCTGGTGGGCTGATAGGCTGAGATACGTTCGGATAGATAAGTTGGGCCAGAACCGTTTAGGGCTTTAAAGGCCAACGCCAGCACTTTGAATTGAGCCCGGTAGCATATCGGCAGCCAGTGGAGCTGGTGCAGCAGAGGAGTTGTGTGCTCCCTGCGCCCCGCTCCTGTTAGTATCATGGCTGCCGCCCGTTGGACTAGTTGGAGCTTCCGGGCTGTCTTCAAAGGCAACCCCACGTAGAGAGCGTTGCAGTAATCAAGGCGGGATGTAACCAGAGCGTGGACTACCGTGGCTAAGTCAGACTTCCCAAGGTACGGTCGCAGTTGGCGCACAAGTTTTAACTGTGCGAATGCTCCCCTGGTCACCGCCGAAACCTGGGGTTCCAGGCTCAGCGATGAGTCCAGGATCACACCCAAACTGCGAACCTGCGTCTTCAGGGGGAGTGCGACCCCGTCTAACACAGGCTGTAACCCTATACCCTGTTCGGCCTTGCGACTAACCAGGTGTACCTCTGTCTTGTCTGGATTCAATTTCAATTTGTTCGCCCCCATCCAGACCGTCACAGCGGCCAAGCACCGGTTCAGGACCTCGACAGCCTCCTTAGTAGCAGGTGGGAAGGAGTGACAGAGTTGGACATCATCTGCGTACAGATGACATCGCACTCCGAAACTCCGGATGATCTCGCCCAGCGGCTTCATGTAGATGTTAAACAACATGGGAGACAGTATTGAACCCTGAGGAACCCCACAAGACAAAGGTTGTGGGGTTGAACAGGAGTCTCCCAGTAACACCTTCTGAGACCGACCCTCGAGGAATGAGCGGAGCCACTGCAGAACAGTACCTCCAAGACCCATCCCCGCGAGGCGTCCCAGAAGGATACCGTGGTCAACGGTATCGAAGGCCGCTGAGAGGTCGAGCAGCACCAACAGGGACACACTCCCCCTGTCGAGCTCCCGACGCAGATCATCCACTAAGGCGACCAAAGCTGTCTCGGTACCATGCCCCGGCCTGAAGCCAGACTGTGCCGGATCCAGATAATCCGTGTCTACCAAGAATGCCTGGAGTTGTGAGGCCACCACATGTTCCATGACTTTGCCCAAAAAGGGGAGATTGGAAACAGGCCGATAGTTGACGAATTGAGTGGGGTCCAGTGATGGTTTCTTCAACAGCGGTTTTATTACAGCTTGCTTTAAGCTGGCTGGAATTTTGCCTTCCCGAAGGGAGGCATTAACCACCACCTTCACCCACTCGGCCAATCCCCCTCTGGCCTCCTTTAGAAGCCAGGATGGGCAGGGGTCTAGGATGCATGTGGTAGCTCTCATTCCTCCAAGCACCTTGTCCACATCCTCGGATTGAACCAATTGAAATGAATCCATCAAAACCGGACAAGCAGATGCTCGTGTTACATCCTCAGATACTGCCGTTAATATGGTATCCAGTCCAGAGCGGATCAAAGCGACTTTGTCTGCGAAGAACCGAGCAAAGGCTTCGCAGTGAGCTGCCGAGTCATCAGGGCACCCATCCTGAGTGGTGGGTTTTAATAGGCCTCTGACAACTCGGAACAGTTCAGCCGGACGGTTCTTTGCAGACGCAATAGTGGCCGCAAAGAAGTCTTCTTTGCGGCTTTTATTGCCGCGGCATATGCCCTTAAAAAGGACACAAACCGTGTTCGATTTGGCTCGCGCGGATCCGAACGCCACACGCTCTCTAGTTCCCTCTTCTTTCGCTTCAACGCTGCCAGCTCCTCGGTAAACCAAGGAGCTGGTTTAGCTCGGCTACTTGAGAGCGGACGTTCTGGAGCGATCGTGTCTATTGCCCTAGTCATCTCCCCATTCCAGAGAGCGACCAGAGCATCAACAGGATCACCAACCGAGGTGGCGGGAAATTCCCCAAGAGCCGTCAGGAATCCATCCGGATCCATAAGCCTCCTGGGGCGGACCAGCTTAATGGGTCCTCCACCTCTGCGGAGGTTAGGGGTGCAGTGAGTCTAAAGCTGACCAGGTGGTGGTCGGTCCATGGCAACGGAGAGATGGATAACTCCTCAACACCGCCACCTTCCTCCCATCCCTGGCAGAAAACCAAGTCCAATGTATGTCCAGCACTGTGGGTGGGGCCAGATACCTGTTGGGACAGCCCCATGGTTGCCATGGTAGACATGAAGTCCTGAGCCGCTCCCGATAAGGGCAGTCTCGGCATGGACATTGAAGTCCCCCAGCACAAGCAGCCGTTGGGAATCCAATGCCAGGTCCGAGACCACCCCCGCTAGCTCAGGCAGGGAGACTGTAGTGCAGCGAGGTGGACGGTACACTAACAGAATCCCTAATCTGTCCCGGTCACCCACCCTCAGGTGGACGCATTCAAAATTTGTTGACTGCGGGATGGGGGCCCTGGTCAGAAGAATGGAATCTCTATAGACCACTGCAACTCCGCCTCCCCGCCCTCCGGATCTCGGTTGGTGCTGCACAGAGAAACCTGGTGGGCAAAGCTGGGTTAAATTTACACCTCCCGCTTCGTCCAACCAGGTCTCTGTGATGCACGCCAGATCTGCCCGTTCATCCAGGATTAAATCCTGGATGAAAGTTGTTTTACCGTTGACAGATCTGGCGTTCAACAGCACCACTTTCAATTCGGAGGGACCGCCATCCTGGTTACACCGACTTACCATATCAGGAGACCGATTTGGGATTACTAATGTTGTTCCACGTTCCCTAGGCCGAATTAAAGGTCTCCTTTTCCCGTATCTCCCCCTCCCCACCACGACTTCTATGGGGGCTCCCCGGTTAACGGAACCCTCTCCCTCCTCCATGACGCATTCAGTAGCCAAGATATCTGCCCGTAATTCATTGTAGACTGTATGGTATGTTATAGTTCCAGAATACCATAGTCCTGCCTTCCGTTCATTTCCTACTCCTATTATATTAAACTCCGGTCTTTCTAATCTACTCCGTTCCCTTTCTCTACCAAAAACAATTAGCAGCAAGATTAACAGATGCCAGGGAAAGGGTAGTGACATGGATAGTAACTATTGACACTGTCAAAGGAGTTCTTAAAGTGCAGGAGTTAAAGTGCAGGAGTTCTTAAAGTGCAGATAGATAATTGAATCAGCATACACGATGGTATCAATAATTAAAGTGCAATAGCTTGGTCAGTTGGCTCTAAAGTGCTCAATTAAAGTGCGTCATGGAGGACTGACTTTAATGCTAGACGGTTTAGTCGATTAAAGTGCTGCGGCTCAGTAAAGCTAATATATCACTGAGATAGTGAGTTAAGGTGCTGGTAGAGTAAGTGCTAGAGTCACACAAGATATTTGTCCACTATGCTTGCCAACGGTACAACAATTAGTTCTTAAACTCTCCGTTCAGTCAGCACAATGGTCAGCACAATCAAGGATAGTGGTCAGCACAGTCAGAAATGGACAGCACAGTCGGAAGAGGTCAACACAGATGAAGATGGTCAGCACAATCAAAAGGGATGGTCCACACAGTTAAAGGAGGTCAACACAGACGGATAACGATGGTCAACACAAGTTTGGAAGTTATTAAAATGTAAACTAAGTATTTGCAATATTGTAACAAGAACATATAAATGCAAATGTCAGCAGAGCAGTGTAGAATTCCAAGAAAACACTGTTCTAATGATTGTCTGTAGCAATACCAGGATTGCAAGTGGATAGGGAAGACCATTTGCTTCTTGGATAACATTTGCAACATACCCTGAAAGAAAGAAAACGGTTCCACCCAAAACAAAAGCAGTGATCTCACTATGTTTCCCCACATTCTGTAATTGCAAACCTCCTAAAGTCGCCTTCTTGAGTAGCCATACAGTGTCCCAAATGGATTTGAAAAAAAAGTCTGTTAATGGAAGGGCACAAATCTGCTACAAAGAAGTCCCAGTCTCACCCTACCAGACATGCCTTAGATGGTGGCATTATTAACAGAAAGGCTTTCTTGGAGATATCTAGAGAATATTCAAATAGTGGTATACAATCCTAAAATGGTTGCTGAATGCCAAACAAATGGGTCTGGGAGTTCAAACTATAAATACATATTTAAAGTGTGTGTACACGTGTCTTCAAGATGCTTCTCGATCTATGACATGAATTTCAGATTTTTTTTTTTAATGTTGCAAATTTAAGAGGCGAAGTACTATTGTCTTCCTCTGAAAAATAACTTTTACAATGCCTTCTCTCCCCTGTCTGTCTTCCATTCAACTACAGGTTGAGCATCCCTTACGTGGAATCCAAAAGTACTCTAAAATTGTTAATATGGATGGCAGAGTGCTTTTTAATTGTTCAGTGAACACACCGTTTCATGCATAAAATAATTTAAAATGTTGTGCATAAAAATTACCTTGATGCATAAGGAAGTGAAACATAAATTAATTCTGTATTCACACTTGGCTCTCAACTCCAAGATATCTCAAAAACAGGTATTCCAAAATCTGAAGGAAAAAAATCCAAAATCCCAAACACCTTCTGCTCCCATGTATTTTAGATAAATGATGCTCAACATGTATTGTCCACACATGGCAAGACCACAGCCCAAGAAGCATGTTTGGCACTCAATGACTAACACATGCACTACACCTGTCTTTGAACAGAGACTGGTATTTGGAGGAACTTTAGCTGACTAATTCAATTCTATTTTAACAAGCTGTTCAACAGTGGAACTCTGCCTCGGAGTGAGGTGAAAAATCCTTCCTTGGAGGCTTTTAAACAGAGACTGGAAAGTCATCTGTCAGGGGTGCTTTGATTGTGCTTTTCCTGCATGGCAGAGGATTGGACTAGATGGCCATGCGGTCTTTTCCAACTCTATTAGTCTATGATTCTAATATATGTATAATGCGGATTTTAAACTGCACTTGTAACACTGTTAGCCACTTTGCATCTCAATCAAGAGATTAAATAATAGCTTCTAACAGCTGGCAGGTGAGAGTGCAAGGGCCTTGCTCTTCCCCTGAGGAACTGCAACCTTCACTTGATCCTCATGAAAAAAACGTTTAAAACTGATGTTTGTTTTTATACCATTTTATGTTATTCTTAATTGTTTTATATTTTTATTATGATTATTTTAATTGTTTTACAAGCCACTATGTATACATTTGTAGAATTATTATATGTGTCTGATGGTAAGTTTTAAATTCTGGTATTCCTAGTCCCCTTAATTTCTGAGAAAGATACCATAAGCCTCTCAATAGCCTAGATGTTCTACTTCCATTACAAAATCCACTGACTAATTTCTGCCATTTTTTTAAGATCAACATGTGGCAATTTAATGGGTAACATATTACAAAATAAGTTAAATTTAGATAATATTTTCATTTTAAAAATGCCTATTCTGCCAAACTATGAGAGATTTTTTTTTGTATTCCAATAGTCTTTTTTAGATTTTCCTAACTAGTCTATCAAAATTTATTTTTTAACTCTAAGTAATTAACAGGTATTGTGACTCCCAAATACTTAATTTTGTTTCTTAATTGATCCATTATTTTTTCTTTGTCCTATGGATATTATACCTAACTTTAAAAAAGTCCTTTAACTTTTCCTTAACTTCAGAGCCACAGGTGCAGTTGGGTTCAGTTATACAGTATAGAAGTGAGGACCACAATATCTTTTTCACAGCAGTACATGTGAAAAAGATCTTGGGAGTCCTCATGGGCAACAAGTTAAACATGAGCCAACAATGTCATGTGGCAGCTAAAATAACCAATGGGATTTTGGTCTGCATAAATAGGAGTCTAGTGTCCAGGGAAGTCATGCTACCCCTCTGTTCTGCCTTGGTCAGACCACACCTGGAATCCCACTGTGTCCAATTCTGGACACTACAATTGAAAGGAGACATTGACAAGATGGAGGCTCCTTCTTTGGAAGCTTTTAAACAGAGGCTGGGTGGCCATCCGTCAGGGGTGCTTTGAATGCAATATTTCTGCTTCTTGGCAGGGAGTTGGACTGGATGGCCCATAAGGTCTCTTCCAACTTTATGATTCTATGATTCTATCAAGGGTCTGGAGAACAAGCCGTATGAGGAGCGGTTTAAAGTGCTTGGCATGTTTAGCCTGCAGAAGAGGAGGTTGAGAGGAGACATGATGGCCATGTGAGGGGAAATCATAGGGAGGAGGGAACAAGCTTGTTTTCTGCTGCCCTGGAAACCCAGGACGCAGAGCAATGGCTTCAAACTATAGGGAAGGAGATTCCATCTGAACATGAGGAAGAACTTCCTGACTATGAGAGCCGTTCAGCAGTGGAACTCTCTGCCCTGGATTGTGGTGAAGTCTCCTTCTTTGGAGGCTTTTAAACAGAGACTGGATGGCCATCTGTAGGGGGTGCTTTGAATACGATTTTCCTGCTTTCTGGCAGGGGGTTGGACTGGATGGCCCATAAGGTCTCTTCCAACTTTACAATTCTATGATTCTATCAAGGGTCTGGAGAACAAGCCGTATGAAGAGCGGGTTGAGGCTGTTGGTAGCTGTAGTCCAATATCTTTGGAGGGACATAGAATCATAGAATCAAAGAGTTGGAAGAGACCTCATGGGCCATCCAGTCCAACCCCCTGCCAAGAAGCAGGAATATTGCATTCAAATCACCCCTGACAGATGGCCATCCAGCCTCTTGTTTAAAAGCTTCCAAAGGAGCTCCTCCATCACACTCCGGGGCAGAGAGTTCCACTGCTGAACGGCTCTCACAGTCAGGAAGTTCTTCCTCATGTTCAGAGGGAATCTCCTTTCTTACAAGCTTGTTTTCTCCTGCCCTGGAGACTCAGGACGCAGAACAATTGCTTCAAAGTATAGGGAAGGAGATTCCATCTCCTGACTGTGAGAGCTGTTCAGCAGTGGAACTCTCTGCCCTGGAGTGTGGCGGAGGCTCCTTCTTTGGAGGCTTTTAAACAGAGGCTGGATGGCCATCTGTCAGGGGTGCTTTGAATGGATTTTCCTGCTTTTTGGCAGGGGGTTGGACTGGATGACCCACGAGGTGTCTTCCAACTCTATGATTCTATGGTTGCAGTTCCCATTATCCCCAGATAGTAATCAAAAGTGGTGGGAGTTGTGTTCAATAACATCTCCGGGTAAAAATTAAAGAGGACGGACCACTGTCTACAAAAATCGTAGTTGTCCCTCTGTACCCAAGGAGAAACCAAGGCAAGGCTGAAAATGTGCTGGAGATCCCTGCTGTGGTGTGAAGCCACAGTGGGAAGAGGCGCCTGCTTCCACAGAGAGAGAGGGTCCGCGCACTCGCCCTCCCCCGCCTTCTCCCCTCCCTCTCGCTCGGGCCCTGGATTTGGGCGGAAAGAAAAGGCCCCTACCGAGTACACGGGCGGCCCCCGCCGTCGGGCAACCGCCCCGGCCGCCGCCGCCATCTCCGCGCCTGCTCCGGAGTCCTCCCTACGCGGCTCCCTCGGCGGCGGCCTTCGAGCCCAGCCCGGAGGGAGGGAGGGAGGAAGGAGGGGGGCAGTCCCTCAGTCAGTAGGGGAGGAAAAGCGGAAGTGCTCTGTGGGCGCCGCCATGTTGGCTGCGACGGTGGTCGCGCGGGACCAAAATCCTTCTTCCTCCGTCCGGTGTTGTCTTTCCGCCCTCAGGTTGGTGGAGCGAAGAGTAGCATGGCCAGAAGAGCAGTGGAGGAGAAAGAGGAGGGCGAGCAGGAACCTTCAGCCTCCGCCGCCCGCCTCCTCCGCGGCGCCTTGGACTCCCTCTATGACTTCGGTGCGTCTCGGCCTCCGCCTCTTTCTGGCGCCTTGGGTTGAGTCTGTCCTGTCAGTGCAGTTGCCATGGCTCAGTGCTGTGGAATCCCAGGTTGAGGACCAAGCAGGCCCCATGACACTTCAGTCCTGAAGGCCCTTCCTTGGGCCCAGAAGGAGGAAGGCCTGGTAGGCCTACACCGCCTGCTTTGTGGCACACTCTCCTACCTAGAGTATTGACCAGGCACCGGCAAACTTTGGCCCTCTGGGTGTTTTGGATTTCAACTCCCACAATTCCTAACACCCTAAATATTTTTGGGGAGCAGGAAGATGGGCCCTCCTGGCCAACGAGGCCCTGTGCTTAAGCACTGCCTGGGAGTTGTAGTTTTACAAGATTTTTTAGCCTTTTCAGCCCAAGAGTGCTGGTGCCTCAACAAACTACAGATCCCATCATTCCAAATGGAGCCCCCGGTGATGCAATGGGTTAAACCCTTGCACTGGCAGGACTTAAGACCAACAGGTCGCAGGTTCGAATCCAAAGAGAGCGAGGATGAGCTCCCTCTGTCAGCTCCGGCTCTCCATGTGGGGACATGAGAGAAACCTCCCACAAGGATGGTAAAACATCACAACATCCAAGCGTTCCCTAGAAACGTCCTGTTAAAGGCGTCATGGAGGAGGGAGAGGCTTCCATTAACCGGGGAGCCCCCATAGAAGTCGTGGTGGGGAGGGGGAGATACGGGAAAGGGAGACCTTTAATTCGGCCTAGGGAACGTGGAACAACATTAGTAATCCCAAAGCGGTCTCCTGATACGGTAAGTTGGTGTAACCAGGATGGCGGTCCCTCTGGGTTGAAGGTGGTGCTGTTGAACGCCAGATCTGTCAATGGTAAAACAACTTTCATCCAAGATTTAATCCTGGATGAACGGGCAGATCTGGCGTGCATCACAGAGACCTGGCTGGACGAAGCGGGAGGTGTAAATTTAACCCAGCTTTGTCCCACCGGGTTTCTCTGTGCAGCACCAACCGAGATCCGGAGGGCGGGGAGGCGGGGTTGCAGTGGTCTATAGAGATTCCATTCTTCTGACCAGAGCCCCCATCCCGCAGTCCACAAATTTTGAATGCGTCCACCTGAGGGTGGGTGACCGGGACAGATTAGGGATTCTGTTAGTGTACCGTCCACCTCGCTGCACTACAGACTCCCTGACTGAGCTAGCGGGGGTGGTCTCGGACCTGGCATTGGAGTCCCAACGGCTGCTTGTGCTGGGGGACTTCAATGTCCACGCCGAGCTGCCTTATCAGGAGCGGCTCAGGACTTCATGTCTACCATGGCAACCATGGGGCTGTCCCAACAGGTATCTGGCCCCACCCACAGTGCTGGACATACATTGGACTTGGTTTTCTGCCAGGGATGGGAGGAAGGTGGCGGTGTTGAGGAGGTATCCATCTCTCCGTTGCCATGGACCGACCACTTCCTGGTCAGATTTAGGCTCACTGCGCCCCCTAACCTCTGCAGAGGTGGAGGAACCATTAAGTTGGTCCGCCCCAGGAGGCTTATGGATCCGGATGGATTCCTGATGGCTCTTGGGGAGTTTCCCGCCACCTCGGTAGGTGATCCTGTTGATGCCCTGGTCACTCTCTGGAATGGGGAGATGACTAGGGCTAGAGACACGATTGCTCCAGAATGTCCCCTCCCGAGTAGATGAGCTAAACCAGCCCCTTGGTTTACTGAGGAGCTGGCAGCGTTGAAGCGAAAGAAGAGGGAACTAGAGGGCGTGTGGCGTTCGGATCCGAGCGAGCCAAACCGAACACGGTTTGTGTCCTTTTTAAGGTCATACGCCGCGGCAATAAAAGCCGCAAAGAAAACTTTCTTTACGGCCACTATTGCGTCTGCAAAGAACCGTCCGGCCGAACTGTTTCGAGTTGTCAGAGGCCTGTTAAAACCCACCATTCAGGATGGGAGCCCTGATGACTCGGCAGCTCGCTGTGAAGCCTTTGCTCAGTTCTTTGCAGACAAAGTCGCTTTGATCCGCTCTGGACTGGACACCATATTAACGGCAGTCTCTGAGGATGTAACACGAGCATCTGCTTGTCCGGTTTTGATGGATTCATTTCAATTGGTTCAATCCGAGGATGTGGACAAGGTGCTTGGAGGAATGAGAGCTACCACATGCATCCTAGACCCCTGCCCATCCTGGCTTCTAAAGGAGGCCAGAGGGGGATTGGCCGAGTGGGTTAAGGTGGTGGTTAATGCCTCCCTTCGGGAAGGCATATTTCCAGCCAGCTTAAAGCAAGCTGTGATAAAACCGCTGTTGAAGAAACCATCACTGGACCCCACTCAATTCGTCAACTATCGGCCTGTTTCCAATCTCCCCTTCTTGGGCAAAGTCATGGAACGTGTGGTGGCCTCACAACTCCAGGCATTCTTGGTAGACACGGATTATCTGGATCCGGCACAGTCTGGCTTTAGGCCGGGGCATGGTACCGAGACAGCCTTGGTCGCCTTAGTGGATGATCGTCGGGAGCTCGACAGGGGGAGTGTGTCCCTGTTGGTGCTGCTCGACCTCTCAGCGGCCTTCGATACCGTCGACCACGGTATCCTTCTGGGACGCCTCGCGGGAATGGGTCTCGGAGGTACTGCTTTGCAGTGGCTCCGGTCATTCCTCGAGGGTCGGTCTCAGAAGGTGTTACTGGGGGACTCCTGTTCTACCCCACAACCTTTGTATTGTGGGGTTCCTCAGGGTTCAATACTGTCCCCCATGTTGTTTAACATATACATGAAGCCGCTGGGCGAGATCATCCGGAGTTTCGGGGTGCGGTGTCATCTGTACGCAGATGATGTCCAACTCTGTCACTCCTTCCCACCTGCTACTAAGGAGGCTGTCGAGGTCCTGAACCGGTGCTTGGCGCTGTGATGATCTGGATGAGGGCGAACAAACTGAAATTGATCCAGACAAGACAGAGGTACTCCTGGTCAGTTACAGGCCGAACAGGGTATAGGGTTACAGCCTGTGCTGGACGGGGTCGCACTCCCCCTGAAGACACAGGTTCGCAGTTGGGTGTGATCCTGGATTCAGCGCTGAGCCTGGACCCCCAGGTTTCGGCGGTGACCAGGGGAGCATTCGCACAGTTAAGACTCGTGCGCCAACTGCGACCGTACCTTGGGAAGTCTGACTTGGCCACGGTAGTCCACGCTCTGGTTACATCCCGCCTTGACTACTGCAACGCTCTCTACGTGGGGTTGCCTTTGAAGACGGCTCGGAAGCTCCAACTAGTCCAACGGGCGGCAGCCATGGTACTAACAGGAGCAGGGCGCAGGGAGCATACAACTCCTCTGCTGTACCAGCTCCACTGGCTGCCGATTATCTACCGGACCCAATTCAAAGTGCTGGCATTGGCCTTTAAAGCCCTAAACGGTTCTGGCCCAACATATCTATCCGAACGTATCTCAGCCTATCAGCCCACCAGGACCCTAAGATCTTCTGGAGAGTCCCTGCTCTCTGTCCCTCCGGCTTCAGAAGTGCGGCTGGCGGGAACGAGAGACAGGGCCTTCTCTGTGGTGGCCCCTCGGCTTTGGAATGCCCTCCCTATAGAGATAAGATCAGCTCCCTCGCTGTTGGTATTTCGGAAAAAACTTAAGACATGGATGTTTGAACAAGCATTCGGGTAATCCGGTGCGATGAAGTTGATGACTAAGGACTGGTAATTATTGACGATGAATTCGGATTATGATTTTAACTAAGAGATGCATTGGTCGGTATTGGTGGCCCGATACTGTGTACTGTATATGTTTTTTATGCTTTTAAATTGTTTGATTATTGTTGTTTTTAAGTACTGTTAACCGCAATGAGTCGCCGTTGTAGGCTGAGATATTGCGGTATATAAGCATACAAAATAAATAAATAAATAATAAGAGGGCTAATTCTCTCACACCAGAAGCAACTTGTCAAGTTGCTCCTGACACGAAAAAAAAATTCATTCCAGAGCATTGAATCCATGCAGATTATTGCCGTGCCTTAACATTATGGGATCCTGGGAGTTGTACCATAGCGTGAGGTGCCATCATGGGACAACCTTGGTCTGCCTTGGTCAGATCACAAATGGAATTCTGTGTCCAATTTTGAGCACCACAATTGATGGGAGATGTTGATAAGCTGGAGGGCAACTAAAATGATCAAGGGTCTGGAGAACAAGCCCTATGAGGCGTGGCTTAAAAAGCTGGCATATTTAGCCTTCAGAAAAGAAAGCTGAGAGAAGTGATGGCCCTGTCTAAATATGTGAGGGGAAGTCGGGGAGAAGGGAGCAAGCTTGTTTTCTGCTGCCCTGGAGACTAGGGGCCTTTCCACAGCCCTATATCCCAGAATATCAAGGCAGAAAATCCAACATTATCAGAGTGTGGACTTAGATAACCCAGTTCAAAGCAGATATTGTGGGATTTTCTGCCTTGATATTCTGGGATATAGGGCTGTGTAAAATGGCCTTAGGAAAGAAGATTCCACCTGAATATTGGGAAGAACTTCTTGACAGAGAGAGCCGTTCAGCAGTGGAACTCTCTGCCCTGGAGTGTGATGGAGGCTCCTTCTTTGGAGACTTTTAAACAGAGGCTGGATGGCCATCTGTCAGGTGTGCTTTGATTGTGATTTTCCTGTTCTCCGCAGGGGTGGGCTGGATGGTTCAGGAGGCCTCTTCCAACTCTATTATTCTATGATTCTATGACCTTGTAAAACTACAGCTCCCAGGATTCTATAACATTGAACCATGGTCTTTCAGTGCTTCATGTTAATGGGTTTTTGTGCTTCTTCCTCCAGCAGGACAGTGCTAGGAACAGCCCTTAGCCACAGTGTCTGTCTCAGAGCCTTCCAACCCATGTATTACGACATGCTAGTGTGTTGGCTGCAGTGTGTAGGTGTGTCACACAAATGTGATGAGACATGACACAACATCTTGGAAATGTAGGCTATCTTCTTAACAAAAATATCTTAATTTTAAAAACATATAAATGAAAAGTTTTCATAAGTAATGTTGTATCCCTGTACATTTTGTTGTTACAGTGTATGTATGTGCACTTATTTCTTATAAGGGATGGGTTTAACCTCCAGTTTGCTAGTAAAACCGAATGATTGTTGTGAAATGAGCCATGCCTAAGAAGTGTGTCATCATCATGGCAGGTTTGGAAAGCTCTGGTCTATCTGTTTGTGATAATATGCAGTGTTAGTCTCTTCCAGCTTCCATGACCCAATCAGAGATCTGTTGATGATGATGGTGAGAAAGCATTTGGCTCTTTCAATTCAGTTCTACTAAGGCTGTGAATCCTGTTTCTGTTATTGGTTAAAACAGTGGTTGGATATGTCTACACTACACTATTATTCACTCCTATTAATAAGATTGAAGGATTGACCTAGATCAAATGGCTTGGAATCTGACCAGAGGTGGTAATAATAATAATAATAATAATAATAATAATAATAATCTTTATTTGTACCCCGCCACCATCTCCCCAAAGGGACTCAGAGTGGCTCACGGAAGCACTCCAAGTGCCACATGCAGACAACAATACATAAGTATAAATACAATGACAAGAATAATAACAGCATAAAAATCTCAATACATTTTTTAAAATTTGAAAATTATAAAATTCCTAAAATGTAGGTTGATACAATCTGCCCTTGTAATAATAATAATAATAATAATAATAATAATAATAATAATAATAATAATAATAATCTTTATTTGTACCCCGCTACCATCTCCCCAAGGGACTCGGTGCGGCTTACATGAGGCCAAGCCCAAAGTACATCAAACAAAACATCAATAAGCACAACATCAATAAACAATCAGTAAAATAAAAATCATATAAATCACATAAACAAAAAACAATCAATAGTGACATAAACAGTTTTAAAAATGGCTGGGCCAAATGTAATAGATTAAAATTGAAAATATGCTGATGTGAACAAGGTAAAATATAACAAGGATAGGATTTTTCGGAGAGAAATGAGGGAGTACAGTCCATCCTAAGTCAGTATTAAAGTGCATATTAGGACATATTGCTGAGAGTTCTCCTTATTCTGGGAAGGCACACTGGAACAACCACATTTTCAGGCTCCTCCTAAAGACTGCCAACATTGAGACATGTCTAATGTCCCTGGGAAGTGGGTTCCAGAGTCAGGGGGCCACCACTGAGAAGGCCCTCTCCCTTCGTCCCCACCAATTGCGCCTGCGAAGGAGGTGGGAGCGTGAGCAGGGCCTCTCCAGATGATCGAAGAGATCATGTGGGTTCGTACACAGAAATGCGGTCACGCAGGTAGGCGGGTCCCAAACCGTTCAGGGCTTTGTAGGTATGAACCTGCACCTTGAATTGGGACCGGAAAATGAATGGCAGCCAGTGGAGCTCCTTAAACAGGAGGGTTGACCACTCTCTGTAAGTCGCAACAGTTAGTAACCTGGCTGCCACCCGTTGTACCAATAGAAATTTCCGGGCCATTTTCAAGGGCAGCCCCACGTAGAGTGCATTACAGTAATCCAATCTGGGAAGTAGTCTGGGAAGGCAGAACAGCTCGGAATCCCCTATTCAATTTTTTTAGGATTCAGGAAAATTAACAACAGTTTACGAGAAGAATAAATGTTTCATCATTTATTTGCAAAATATTGATAGGCCGTGTATTGAGATGTAGCAATTGCTGATAATCCAACATAAGGTGCACTGTATTCTTGCAGTACACAACTCATGATAACCATATATAACACACCTCTAAAGTAAGATACAGTATCTATTTCCTGTTTGCTTGGTATTTATTAACAGCAGTAATATTGAACCCCACGCATCCATGGCTTATCTCAGCATCACATTTTCTTGTCTTTGTACTTGAAAGAGAAGTGATCTCATCTACCTGGACTGTGGGTTTTCAGTACTCTTCCTTTATCAAATTAACCTTTCAATCTATTCATTGCATCTGGACATGGCTTCTGTTATATGATATACACCTCTGTAATCAGTTCCTGACTCCTATGCATAGTTTCTATCCATAATTCCTATTCATAGCCACCCACATCTGATTCTTTGGCCAAGCCACTTTTCTTTGCATCTTTCCCAGGTGTTGTTATCTATGAGTAGTCAGAATCCAAAGGCCTGCTAGACAGTTTTAAAACATGTTTATATCTCCTGGTTTGTTATGTGACATGAATGGCTGCTATTGTATTTCAAAAATACTTTATCAATATGGAAACTGCAAGTCGCTTCTGATGTGAGATAATTGGCCATCTGCAGAGACGTTGCCCAGGGGATGCCCAGATGTGTTAGCGTCCTGTGGGAGGCTTTTCTCATGTCCCCGCATGGGAAGCTGGAGCTGACAGTCAGAAGCACACCCCGTCAGGAATCCTTCCAATTATATGGCTGAGTTATATGAGATTTACAACAATTTTATCTCAAATTCTAGGTGAATCGTTGCTAAATGGAAATAAAAAGAATAAGAGAAAAAAGAAAAACTCACAAGAGAAATTCGCAATGACTTCCAACAATAATCAATCAGAAGACAAAAGGGTGAATCTTGAGTCTGGCACAGCAGTATCAAACAAAAGGAAAAATGACTTCTTTGAAGAACTGAAAAATGAACGGGTATCTGACTTTATTAATAAGAACAACAATGCAACAGAATGTAGATCCCCAAATACGACCACACAGAAACCTGCTCAGCAGGAAAATGCTTCAGATATTGAAGTGGTGACATTCCATGGTCGACACAGAAAGAAGAAAGTTAAACTTGAAGCTCCTGAAATTGATTGCTCCAAGGTAAGATTCACATCAAATGATATGCAGTAGCAGAAAAGTGAGTAGCTAAGTTTTTTTCAAACATATGAAAAAAACATTCAAGAGTTACTAGCCAACCTGCCCACCTACCTATGCTGAATTGCTGGCAGAAGGTGGTAAATTGCCTTGTTTGAATACAGAAGCTACTCTGTTGGGTCATTTGGAAGCAATTCCTATTCAGATGCGTAGGAAGGTGAACAAAGAGGCAAGTGGCTTTTGTGTTCTATCTTTCATGTTGCTAGTAGCCTAGCTAAAAAGCTTTTAATTAGCCACACATTTAGTACCAAACTTTGCTTATGAGCTTTATATTAAGCCAAGATATTAAGCAAATTCTAAACTGATTCCCTATTCTGGCTTCTTTCCAACAAAGCTCATGTCACAAAGGGGCTGCATAGGTAGACAAAAGGCTTGTTACAGTTTCGCTTATTAAGGCATTTTGCAGATAAAATATCTCGCATAAGATAGTTTATCATCGATAGATGTTGCCATTAGGGTGCAAGCCATCAAAAAAGTGTCCAGCAACTCTGTGAGTGGGATTACAGTGGATCAGTTTCATTTGGTGTGTACTCTTGATGTGGACAAGCTGCTGGGGCAAGTAAGGACAGATGCTTTCTTGATCCCTGTCCCTCTTGGCTGGTCATCCAGGGAGGAGATGCAATTCAGCCTCAATTACAACAAATTATTAATGCATCTCTCAGGAATTTTACATCCTGTTTAAAAGAAGCAGTAGTTAGACTGCTGCTGAAAAAGCCATCCCTGGATTCCCTGGGCCTTAATAATTACAGACCAGTCTCTTAATTTCCATTTTTGGATGAGGTAATTGAGAAGGCAGTTGCCCTTCAACTCCAAGCAGGCCTGGATGGCATACACTTTCTTGACCCATTTCAAACTGGCTTCAGAGCAGGTTATAGAGTTGAGACTGCTATGGTCGCCTAGGTGATGATCTCCACCTTAACATTGATAAGGGATGTGTATCTCTGTTGGTGCTTCTAGATCTCTCATTGGTTTTCATTATGATAAACCATGGTATCCTTCTAGAATGCCTGAGGGGTTGGGAATCGGAGACACTGTGCCGCAGTGGTTCCAGTCATACCTCTCAGGCAGGTTTCAGATGATGATGCTTGGGGACAGCTGCTCCTCAAAAAGGAGCTGTTATGTGGAATCTCACAAGGTGCCACTCTGTCCCCAATGCTTTTTAATATTTACATGAAACCACTGGGAGATATTATCCAAAAGCATGGGGTGGGGTGTTATCAGTATGCTGATGACACCCAAATATATTTCTCCATACCTTCAAAAGCAGCCTCATCCAAGGATAATGTGTCTTCTCTGAATGTATGCCTGAATATGATAATAGGCTGGATGAGGAGAAACAAATTGAAACTGAATCTAGACAAAACAGAAGTACTTGCCATCAGGGGTTCTAATCTGGAGATGGAGGTGTGTCTACCAGTTATGGACGGGGTTACTCTCCCTCTGAAAGACGGTGTTCACAGCTTGGCAGTATTCCTGGATCCATCTCTCCAAATATCAGCCTAAGTTAATTTGACTGCCAGGAGTGCTTACTATCAGCTTTGACTGATATGCCAGCTGTGTCCCTTCCTAGATTTAGAGGACCTAAAGATGGTTGTGCACACACTGGTAACCTCAAGGTTGGACTTCTGGGCTACATATCTACAGGGTATTCCATTGTCAAACAACTCGTACTATGTAGAAGTTCTTCCTAAACTTTGTGTGTAATCTTTTTTCCTTTAGTTTGAATCTACTGTTAACATGCCCCAGCCTCTGCAGCAACAGAAAACAAGTTGCTCCCTCTTCAATAAGACATCTTTTCAAACATTTGAATGTATCTGTCATGTGACCTCTTAACCTCTCCTCCAGGCTAAACATACACATCTCCCTAAGCTACTTCTCATAGAACATGGCTTCCAGACTTTTCATCTTTTGGTTGCCCTCTGGATTCATTCCAAGCTGTCAATATCCATCTTGAGTTGTGATGCCCAGAATTACTTTAATTTATATTCTTGCTTTCTCCCACTATGGGACGCAAGGCAGCTTTGACTCCTTGAGCTGCATGCTTTAAAAAGTAATGGTAGAAATGCAACTAGAAATTGTACAAGCGTCTTCAAGCCTTCTGTGATTTGATAGTGAGTTTAAGTGATTGTAAGAAATGTTTGTGTATTTGACAGTCTGTTCCCAATCAATTGCCCACTTGTACACAGCCATAATCATTGCAGAATTGGGACTAAAGTTATCTTTTTGGACCACAGCTACCAGAATTTCCTACCAGATTCACCAGTGACTATGCTGCCTGCTGGGTTCTGAGATATATAGTGTACAGAAGGAATTTTTCTAGGCTGTGTTTGGACCTTATATTTAGCCTCAGTGCCTTGCAACATGGGGTTTATCTGTTAGGAAACCGGCTCCAGATTAGTGCAGAGATGTGATTCAGCATCATGTCATGTCTGTCATTAGATTGCCAAATATTAGTATTGCTCAAGAAAAAAAACAAGGAGTCAGAGGGATATAATTGCCTGAGTTTTATCAATAGCCTGTGGTGTAGTCAAGTTGTAATAGCCAATAGCATTTACCTCTTGCTGTGCTGATTAATACTATATGAATGGTACAAGAGGTGGAACAGAATTAGGCTCAAATAACATTTGAAATCCTATTGGAAAACAGCTATGTCATTTATGGCGACTGCTGATGTGTTCACTTCCTTTTTTGTTTTCCTTGGTCATATGTGCCAGTCTGGGTGTTGTAGAGTCTTACTTGGTGAGTTTTTTAATTTGTCTCCCCCTGTATCCAGAAAAAACTCTGATTATTCATAAATCTGATGACAAAACAGACTAGCAAACATCATTACTTAAATCCAATAAGAAACACAGATCTTCAAATTAAGAACCAAATATAGGATTAAGAATGCAAGACATCCAAAATATATCTAAACTCAGATATACAGTACATGGTAATTGATATTTAACCCATATCCTTTGGGGTTTTTATTTGTTCGTGTTTTTGACACTCATAAGTTTGAGCTCAGATGGATTTTTTTTTGGAAATTCATTCTCATCTATATGCTTCTTTGGGCTGTATCTTGCATTCACTGGACTCTCGAACCAAAAGTGAATTTGACGAGATTTCTAGTCTAAAGTATATAATCCTATAAGATTTTGTGTTATCTGTAGAAGCTTTAAGTGTTCTCCCCTATGCCAAATAGATGTTCCATTCTCTCCAATATGAGGAGTAGTGGAGTACAATGGACCACTGGTATCCATAGTGGTTTGGATTTCAGTAACCCCTAGGGATACCAAAATCTGTGGATACTCAACTCCCATTATATACGGTGGCATAGTAGAATGACATGCCTTATATAAAACAGCAAGATCACGGATTGCTTTGGGTTTAAAAACTATTTGCAAGCAGGTGTTTGAATCTGTGCATGCAGAACCCATGGTTATTGAGGGCATACTTAGCATTCTTTTTTGTTCCAGAGAATAAAAAACACAGTGTAGGTTTTTGCTTGTTTTTATAGCTTTGAAATTAAATTCCTTAATCCATAATACTAAGCCTAAAATTCTTAATGTTCCTGTTAAATATGGAGTGAGTGTTGTAATTCCTAAATTTCTTTTTGCCTCTGACGTTAACTGAAGCCAAAGGAAAGATGCTTATTGCCCACAAATCGGTTTAAGTGGGCATTGAGGGGAATTCCTTTCTTCCCAGCATTTGAAACTCTGCTGGTATGGTCATCCAGGGCCTCTTTGAAATTTAATTTTCTCATGACTCTTGGTTGTTCATGGAAAAACTACATCTCCAAGCGCTCTTGGTCTCTTGGTACCTGGGTCATTGGTATAACAGTCCACTAAAGAGAGAAAGAGAAGGCAGGAAAAAAAATTGAGATTTTTCTTGTGTCACTGCAAGTAGCAATAGCTATTACAGTTAAAGCAGTGGTTCTCAATCTGTGGGYCCCCAGGTGTTTTGGCCTACAACTCCCAGAAATCCCAGCCAGTTTACGAGCTGCTAGGATTTCTGGGAGTTGAAGGCCCATAGGTTGAGAACCACTGAGTTAAAGGGACTTGAGGGCCCACAAAGAGAGAATTGGTTCAGTTTTGGCTCAGACTAAATTGAAGAATTTTCTGATAGTTTTGRAATTTGATTTCCTGATTAAGCATGTTATAATGCTTATTTCTAGATTCCCCAGCTCTGCTTGTTTGGGCAGTTTTCTGCTTATCTACACAAATGTAATAATCACCTTTGAATTCAATCAGGTTAGCTATTGGGAAACTAAATATGTGGTTACACCCTTATATGTTTGTTCAAATAGTATGGTTGTTTAGTTTTACAAAAAGATTTTATTATCAATTTCTTCACAAAAGCTTGTTTTGGTTGTGGGGGGGGTGTGTGGAAATGTTAGCTGTTGGGATACATAACCTTAGATGCACATGACTGGCCTTATTGTGTAGCAAAATGCACTCTGTGAACAAAATATTTTCTTTGTTTTTAAAATATATCTGTATAGGAAAAAACAACTTACCAAGAAAAGCATGCAGGTGGTCAGGCATTTAACCTGGAAAAAGTAAGTAAATGTTTAATCTATTATTATTAATTAATTAATTAATTTATTTATACCATGCTCTGTCTCCACAGGGTGGTTTCTTGGTAGCTGAAGAAAACTGCAAATCTAGGCCTAAATGCATTTGTAGAGTAGACTCAAAATGATTTATGATTTATTAAGTTCCCATTAGTTCAATCTGATCTACAGACTGCTTAAGGAGATTTATATGGAATGTGTGAATGGGTCTTCTGGAAATGAGATACAAATGAGTTCTTGGAGGGAGGGACACACAGGACAGTCTTGTGAATGTTTGCTTAGGGCCATGAAGTTTAGGAGGCTTCCTTCCAGAAGAATATCTGCACAGTTGCATGCAAAGGCAAATTATTTGCTTAACTTAAGTCATGCATTTATGAACCTCCTGCAAAAGAACACGCGAAAGAGATTGAAGTCACATAGGCCCAAATGCTACACTTAATCCTAACTAGAACAGACCCATTGAATCCATAAAACATACACAAGTGCTGATTTGACAAATACTAATTGATTCAACTGGTCTACTCTAATTGGTCCTGCTGATTGAAGGTAACCCATCGTGTGCTATGAAATGACAAGATCTCAAACAAAATAGCCCTGAGGAACAGGGCCAGCTGTATTGGGTAGTCTGAGATGGTTTGTTTCAGACAGCAAATGTTGTGTACCATGACAAAGATGCGTATTGTTATTTTATTTGGTGCCATTGTATTTCTATTACCCAGTGAGACAGAGAGATGCTTATGATATTTTCTGACTTATGTGCCAAGATATTGTGATCTGCTTTATGATAATATACAGCCAGAGTTAAAACAATATGGGCTGGATGGAGAAGGCTGTTTCCTATGATAATAAATATAGTTGTTCATGTCCGCATGGAAAATGCAATGATATGTTTGCGAGTGACAAGCTTTTTATCCCCCTTCAGCTCTAAATAAAAATCTGGTCCATGAGCTTGCATTAGAAAGACTTACAGGAATCACATATCTTCATCTCCCAATGCTACCCAATGTACCCCCAACCCCAAATTTGCCATTTCTGTATTGCTGAGATATAGGGGGATCAGTAGTGATGTGTCCAGCTATTTTCCTTCAGATGGATACACTGCAACAGGCTCTTGTAGGAGCCTCCCTAAGTCCTGGCAACATTTCTGCAGTTACATCCTTGCAGGAAAATAGTTCAATGAATCTGTGCTGTCAGTCCTCCCACATGTTGACATTTAGTGGTTTGCAAGAACACCAATCTCTAGGTACACAATTGCATCATGGCAGTCATGTGTTTGTGGATGTTTCGAAGACAGTGCTGTTTTTTGTAATGTTTTAGGCCCGTTTGGAAGTGCACCAGTTTGGAATCACTGGATTTGATAAGAAAGAACAACGGGTTTTGGAACAAGAACGTGCCATCATGTTAGGAGCAAAGGTATGGCACTGTCTATTCTGTCAAGAAGGGGCCTATAAAAGAACTAAAGAAGAACATAACTTAAGGAGAGGGAGATCTATAGATGACATGTGAGTTCAAAGAAGTATTATTGCCAAATGGCTGAACAGTGATGATCTTGGTGGTTTTCCAGTAGGTATGAAGATGATCTGGAAATCTTTCCTCTGCTTTCTGCTCTTCGTCAGCCATTTTCCCGTAGTAAAACCTGGCAGTTCTTGGTTCAGATTGAGTTCGAGTGGGGTGGAGGGTAGGATTCTTGATTGCATTTCTGATAATTTAGCCTACAGAAAATTGAATTAATATTAAGGGAGTTTTTTCCTGTTAAGTTTCATCAGACACATTGAGGAGAAGATCCAATGTTGAAGTGTACTTCTAACCATGCCAGTCTGTGTCCCTCTTTCTTCATTACTGTCATGTCCTAGGAAGGACTGCTGATACTGCTTCATTTGAGTGGGAAAGCAATGGAGGGACTATAAAGTAGCAGCTGGATTTGATTCAATGAAGAAAGGAAATGAGGATCTGCTTGCAGATGAAATGCACCCTCCTTTTCCTTTCTTCAGGAGCCTAGAGTAGGCATCTCTATGTGAACTGCTTCTCCCCTCCCTGTCCTTCCCACTGGTAAGCAGTAGCAGCAGCAACTACACCTGGAAGTTGACAACTGCTGGGGATGTAGGGGGAAGTTTGGGGGCAGAGTTCTGGGCCCCCTATACCCTGTCCAAAAAGAGAGGTATTGTGTGACCAACACTCTGACTTGCAACATGTTTCTACCAGGTTGCAAGTGAGAGTGTTAACTCAGCTGATAGATTATTATACAGATGCTCATATCAGAGATAAGTGGGTGAGAGATTGTAATCGGTCACTCAGAAAGAACGGAAATGCAAAACGTGCAGGCAGCTGATGAGTGTTCCCTCATCAGCAATAGTTGGGTGGTAACAGAAACATACTTACACAAATACCAGCTGCTGCTTTGTGAATGGTCACTGCTAAGCTGATAATCACTTCTGATAACTTTTGCATTGCAGTTCCTTCTGACTCCACAAATTGCATTGCAACACTGATTTCGTCACCAAAGTATGTACAGGCAATTCCCAAGTTACGAACAAGATAGGTTCTGTAGGTTTGTTCTTAAGTTGGATTTGGCTTGTTTTGGAAACAAGGATTGATGAGAAAGCTTCAGTTAACTCTTTCAGCAAGGGTCAAAGGGGACTAAAACAAAAAAGAAGGGAAGACAAAAGAAGAGAATGGAAGGAAGGGGAGGGTGTAAGTTGGAAAGTAGGGAAAGGCATATGAGGGAAAGCGAGAAAGAAAAGAAAGAGCCACAAAGAAAGTGCAAACTCGACCAACACCAAATATATATGCTAGTATTTAAATTAAAGGTGTATGAAATCTAGACAAACATTATGGAAGATAAAGGGTATACCATTCTCCATTGTTACTTTCCATTTTAGACTGGCAAAATCCAAAGTCTTTATTTACATATTTTGGAAAAGTCGGTTAAACAGCGTTTTTCAACCTATTATGCAATTTTTTGTTGTTTTGTATTTTATTTTGCTGTATTGCTTTTTCAGGCTTGGCCTCATGTTAGCCGCCCTGAGTCCCCTTTGGAGAGATGGTGGCAGGGTATACCGTATATTCCAGGGTACTAGACGACTTTTTAGGCATGTAAAACCTTATAAAATTTTGGGGGTCGTCTAGTACGCCGGGTATAAAATTAAAATAATAAAATTACTTAATATGGCTGCCTTGGCCTCGGGCTCCCCTCCTCCTCCTCCTCCTCCTCCTCTTCCTCCACCGCCTTGGCTCATGGTGGCCTCCCAGGCAGACTCCCCGTCCTTCCTGGCTGCCTTCCTTGCAGAGGCCCAGGCCTCTCCTTTGTTGGCGACCAGGCCCCTGGGCTGCTTCCCGTGCTGCTCAGGCCATTCTCCTTCCTGTCCATGCCTTGCGAGAAGTGCCTCTTCTCCCGCGAGACAACGTTGTCTCGCAGGAGAAGAGGCACTTCTCATGAGGCCTGGACACGAAGAAGGAGAGCGGCCTGAGAAGCGCCTGGTTTGGGGAGTCGTCTTAAACGGCGAGTATATCCCCAACTCTCAATTTGGTTGCTAAAATTGGGGGGTCATCTTATAGCCCCAGTCATTTTATACCCCGGAATATACGGTAAATAAAGTTTTTTATTATTATTATTATCATTATTTGAAACACAACAAGGTGAGTCCACAGCAAACAAGATCACTCTGCTGGCTGTTGTATTGGATCACACGTCGGACACTTTCCAAGTATCTAGGACTGTGTGATTTTTTAATTACTATTATTATAATTATTATTATTATTACTATTGCAGCCTCCTAAAAAAGAATATCTGAACTACAAGATTCTTCAAGAGAAAATTAAAGAAAAGAAGGAAGCCAAGAAGGGAGAAAGCATAATGGTTTGTATAACTTATTTCTCCTGAAATAAAAATGGAGATAGTTAGACGTCCCTCACCTTGTTTTTAAAAAGCTGCCCAGGAATTGCAGTTTTCTTCTCTTCAAACAAAACAAAACTTTTTGGTAGGGAATTCATGTTTTAGAATGGTTCAAGGACCCACTGACAGGAGAGAGAGAAGGCGTACATGTTACCTGTTGCTGCATTAAAGTATTCTTATTGCTCTTTATTAACAGGAAAATAAACCAATTTTTCTCAAGAAAAGGAAGAAAAAGGGGCACGAAGGGAGGTAAGCTGACTACTATTAAGAAATATTAGCAAACTGGATTTGTTTTTACTTTTGCTTGTGAATCTACTGTAAGTTTGTTAACTGGAGCTTTCTACAAGGAACACATAGCTTGGTTCAATTACTCCACTGGCTACTAGTCTATTTCCAGACACAATTCAAAGTGCTGGCTATGACCTATAAAGCTCTATACAACTCAAATCCACATTATCTGAAGGATCACCTCAGTCTGCCTGTGTTTTAATATCATCTGGAGAGGCCTTCTCTGTCTTATCACCTTCACAGGTACATCCGATGGGAAAATGAAAGAGAGCCTTTTTGGTGGCTTTTCTTAGGGCCCTTCCAGACAGGCCCTATATCCCAAAATCTGATCCCAGGTTTTCTACTTTAAACTGGATTATATGAGTCTGCACTGCCAGATCATCTGGGATAAACAGAAAACCTGGGATCATACTCCTGGCTTCCCATTCATAGAGAAGCTGAAGACCTTTTTGCTTTGACAGACCTTTGAAAATGGATTGTTTGTCTGGGGAATTTCTTTATAATCTGCTCTCTTTTTGTTGTTCTTGTTTTAAACTACTTTTAATGCTGGTGTTAGTTTGCTTGTGTTCCACATTTTGTATATGAAATTTAAAGCAGTTTCTGTCTTGAGTCCCAGACTGGGAAAAGGAAGGCTATAAATACATAGTAATAATATTAACAGCAACAACAACAGTTTGGGTTGGAAACCATAAAGCTTCTTCAGACATGCCCAGTATGATTGTTGATACCATTTTGCAGTGGGTGAGGAGAAATGTTTGTTGTTTTAGCGCTTCATGACACTATTTTTCATTTTCTTTTAAAAACAGTAAATCTAAGAAGAAGGCAAAGCAGAGCATAGTGCCTACAGGGCAAGTTGGAACATTTAAAAATGGGACCCTAATTCTTCGTAGTTCTGATATAAAGAAAATCAAGTCTTCCAAAGTAGTTAAATGACATCGTTGCACCAAGCTGAATTGAAAACTAGATACATGAACTTTGTGGTCAAACTTTTTAAAAGCATTTATCCGTTTTCTAAAAAAAACTTCTAATTTTTTTAATGCATGGATTTTTGTGGGGTCCTCAATTTTGTACTTAATAAAATGCATTTGAAAATAAACATTGTTGTGTCATTGGATTTTAATTCCTTTCTTGCTACATCACATCACTGGAAGACCAGAAGCCGGAATATAATTGGCTACAGCCACTGAGGATTTCCCCTGAATCTTTTTGCAGCGCTCCTTTCATCAGTATGTGTATTCAAGCTGAATCGAAGTCTACAGATTTATTCCACAGAAGGAGCTTCCTCTCAAGCCCCATTGAAATTCACGTGGTTTGCCCAAGAGAGTTTTCTGCTAGATTAGGCCCGTTACTCCTTTGACTTATCAGTTCTTTCTCATGAGCTCTGTACAATAAGACCCTTGTATCTGTGAAACCTGAGAAACTTCCGGGTGGGCCTTCACACAATTAAAGCTTGTGTGCCAGCTGTGACTGTACCTCGAGAAGTCTGACTTGGCGAGAGTGGTCCATGCCTTGGTTACATCCAGATTGGATTACTGCAACACACTCTACATGGGGCTGCCTTTGAAGATGGCCCGGAAACTGCAATTAGTACAAAGGTCGGCTTCTAACTGGAGCTAATTATAGGGAACTCACAACGCTCTGATTAAAGCAGCTCCACTGGCTGCTAATAAGTTTCCGGTCCTAATTCAATGGGCAGGTTACGACTTACAAAGCTCTGAATGGTTTGGCCCCCACTTATCTTTGTGACCACATCTCCTCCAATGAACTGGCGCAGGTTCTAAGATCTGCTAGGGAAGCCCTCATTTCCCAAAACTCACATGCACAGTTGGTAGGGACGAAGGATAGGGCCTTCTCGGTGGTAGCCCCCCGACTTTGGAATACCTGGGTTAGGCAATTCCCTACACTGGCCTCCTTTTGTGGGGATTTGAAAACCTGGATGTTCCAACAAACATTTGAGAAAGACTAGTCCATACTTACAAATGCCCAGTCCCTAGTTTGCCAGATAATACTTTGTTTTCTGCACTTCTTCCAAATCCCCAACCCTATGGAGTGCTGTTTTGCATTATCCCATGCCCGGTCCTTTTTATAGTCTGATCATGCCCATCTTAGCATTATGGTTATTGATTATTATTTTTTTGTTGTGCATTGTTGTTTTATACCCTCACACTAGAGAAAAAATCCACTTAAAATCTGGTTTCTGCCTCCTGCAGAATTCTGGGGTTTGTAGTTTAGAAAGGAAACTTTAACAGACTCAGTAAACTACAAACCCCAGAAATCTGCAGGAGGCAGAAATAAGATTTTACGTGGATTTTTTCTCTAGTGTAATGAAGTGACTGTGTTTTTATGTGATTGTTATTCTTTTGCTATGTTTTATTGTAATCATTTTTGTTTTAATAGATTGTTTTGCTTTGATGTTTTGTGGACATTTTTTCCCATGTGTAAGCTGCCCCGAGTCCCTTCGGGGAGATGGAAGCGGGATATCCAAATAAAGTTATTATTATTACTTCCATTACTCCCCCCTCCATAGGGCAGGAGGTGATGGTAGGGAATAGCAAACACTCTTATTTTAGCTATGACCAGTGGTTTCATCTATCCATGGGAAGGCCCAGAATATATGCCCCACGAATATTGGGAGTCATACTGAAACTGAAAATTAGAGTTCTGCACTATTTTTAGACTACCAGTACCTAATAACCCACTGCATAATTTTCTTTTAATAAGAAACGTTTACGAACAAAGAAAGCTCTTCAGCAAGGAGATGGAGTAACATCGCCCCAATGTGGCTGGAACCAAGCACAGCCTCCAAAGATGCTGAATGATGAGAAAAAGCCTATAGATAGATAACTATCTGTTGTCTGTCTTGTCACTGTATAATTGGCATTGGAATTTTTTTTGCTATATATGCATTCTGTGATCTGCCCTGAGTCCCTTTAGGGGTGAGAAGGGATGTTGTTATTATTATTGTTGTTTTATATTGTTTTAATGTTTTAACTTGTTTTATAATATGTGTACTGTTTTGTTGGAAACCACCTTGAGTTGCCGATTGGCTGAGAAAGGCAGTATACAAGTACAGTAAATAAATAAATAATGTAAGTACTGTAAAATAAATAAATAAATAAACAGCCAGCTCTTTCCAGAGCAACAGGAGAACAGGCGATTGATTACAACAACTGTGTCCTAGTAAGTGAAAATGGTGTGTTGATTTGGGATTCATTGTGTAGCATTAGAACTATAGTGCATACATATACTTAAATCCCATATAGGAGGTTGGCCATTGTTTTAGTCTATTTTTCATTTGTTTCTGTTTTTATTTAATGTTTTACTCCCTACCCCATTTGGAAGCATCCTTGTGTGCCATCCTTTTGCTGATATTTAACGACCAAGATTAGGCACAAGGGCAGACACTGGAACAATTTACTTTTCTATAATGACAGAATCATAGACAATAATGTGATGCCTCTTCCATGGTGAATTTCTCTGAACTGAGGTTTCATAGCTTATAGCTTTCAATCAATAGTAGGGATATATTTTTATTGAATGTATTAAGGGAGGACTTTGCATGTCTTAGAGTAGTTGTTGTAAGCAATCTGTCATGGGCTACACGTCTTGGTCCTGAATGAATCACTCATTCTTTTGGCCAGTAAGCAATACAAGGAATGTTCAAGATTATGTGAAATCGATATTGAGATTTGGAATGGCCCTGGACTAGGATTGTTGGATTATGTGATTTTAACATTTATATTAATATGTTTTTAACTCCAAATTTAATGTTTAAATGTCATTGTGTTTTCATGATTTAATTGATAGTTGCATGTTATTATTTTATATTGGGTTTTTATGTATGTGAAGCATTGAATTTTGCCATATATATGTTGGAAACCGCTTTGACAAGTAAATAAATAAATACTGTACATACTCGAGTATAAGACTAGTTTTTCAGCCTTCTTTTTAGTTGGCTTATACTCGTGTCAAGGCTATTTATTATCTTACTGTTGTTATTATTATTATAACATTTATTATTTTACTTTATTATTGTTATTATTATTATTACATTTATTGTTTTACTCTATTATTACTGTTATTATCACATTTCCATTAATTTACTTTATTATTATTATTATTATTATTATTGCATTTATTATTTTACTCTATTATTATTGGAAGGATACACACACACATTTACAATAAAGAAGGTTAGTATAATGGTTTAATCAGAGTTGGACAGTCCTTTCTTAAATTATAGTTTTATGTAAATATTCAAAACATTTAACCTACTGATGCCTCAGTTAATGTAATTGTATTGGTATCTATTTTTATTTTGAAATTTACCAGTAGCTGCTGTATTTCCCACCCTTGGCTTATACTCGAGTCAATTTGTTTTCCCAGTTTTTTGTGGTAAAATTAGGTATCTTGGCTTATATTCGGGTCAGCTTATACTCGGGTATATACGGTAAATAAATAAATTCTTGGTTAGACCCACACAGTGGTTTCCAGCAGATTGGTCCCCATAATCTTTAACCTGAGTCATTATGGAGTATTTTATTCCGGGCTGAACCTGTGTAGAAATGCATATGACTGCCATTGTTTTTCACCCGAAAAAAAGAGCAACACCATGTCACCGGATCTGTTGGCAGTGTAATAAGAATTTATTTAAAATCTGTAAAACAGCATAAACTCATACTTTATGTTTTCCAAAAGGGTAATACACAAAAGTTGGATTTTGAGACAACAAGACAAATAAAATAGTTTCCAATTCAAAAAATACAAACTTTGCTACAGGTAGAAAATTAGAAAAAGTTGTTTGTTATTTTTCCCTCCCTTCTTGACCTGGTGCCATATAGAAGAGGTGTACATTCCACCAGATCTAAGGACATAAATTATGGTACATGATCAAATAAAAAATGCCATGGTCAGAGAGGGAAACCAGAGCAAATGATGTTTTTCTTATGAAATCAGACATGGACATAACATGTAACTTTCTTTCCAATTGTTTTTGCCAACATTTAAATTAACATCTTCCATGCTTTTTTATAACAAGTCAAGAAAAAGCAGCAGTTCTGCTTCATGCATTAATTAATTCTATAACATTTTCATCACACCGCATCTCCAGGCTGTACTTCCAGTTCCCTATTTTCAACAGCTTGATATTTTTATTGACAGCATTTAGGCAACACCAGGTTATGAACTTTTGTGAACGCAAAGGACAAAGTCTGTTTCTTTTCACATTGTACAGTATGACAAAAAGAAATTCTGATGATTTCCTCACATAGCTCTTTGAAATGCTACTCTGGCAAAGAAGCCAAGCCCCAGTGATCTTCCTTTTGTCATGCAAATTAAAGGTAAAAAATCGGCTTTGGAAAGCAACTCTTGGAAAATCTCCAGAAACGATTGAAAATGGCTCATAACCTTCCAAAGAGAAATATCAATCTGGTGTGATCTTATATATGTACCCATATCATTTTCCTCAGATCCTCCCTAACAGATGAAAGGAAAGCAGCAATGAATCTGTACTGATTCATGATGTCTTTATTTTAAAAGAAAACCTTGGGAAACTTGCCTTTATAGATTACAAGGACCACAATCCTCCACATTTATACCTCTTGGAGATTTCCTCCTGGAAAGGAACATGAACAGGCTCAAAGACTGAGGTTCTGAGTAATTTCAAAGGCAAGGTAGATATATGATCAAACAAAATTCTGCACTTTTAAATATATATTTTAAATATTCCATTTGGGAAAACTTTACATTTTGGATCTTGGCATACACCTAGTAATTTCTAATGGTATACTCAACACCATTTTAAAAACAATGTCCTGAACAGATATGGGAATCATGAGACCCTCCGGATATTGCTGAACTGCAGCTCTCCAACTTCCTCACTAGTGGTTGTGCGGGCTTTTTTTATTATTGTGTCCTAAGCAAATTGAGAATATACTGCAAGTTGCTTCTGGTGTGAGAGAATCAGCCATCTACGAAGATGTTGCACTAGCAGTTCGAAAACATGCAAATGTGAGTAGATCAATAGGCACCGCTTCGGCGGGAAGGTAAGAGCGCTCCATGCAGTCATGCTGGCCACATGACCTAGGAGGCGTCTACAGA